TTAGTACTTCATCTACTCTGCAACAAGGCTTTTGGTGTTTCATGCCATAAGATCCCTAAGTGTATCTTCATCTCTAGTAAAAATTATTCTAAATGTCTTTACATAAAAAGGATTTTATGAAAATGATCATTCTGTAAAGATGAGAAATTTCACAGTCCTCTGTCTACCACTGGATAATGTGTTAGGAGGAAAATCTCTTTCCTATCATAACAGGCACCAAACTCAGTTTTTTTTCTTATTAATTCAACCAAAGATGGGGGCAGAGTATTTAAATCAGCACAAAATCATCATCCTAAAGCCACTTTCTCTTACCTCACAACCTGCCAATGAAAAACATTAAAAATCATGTCACTAAGTGAAATTAAGAGAATACTTTGAGAAACTTGTCTCAAACTAAAACATGCCAAATTGAGCTCTCTTACAACCTTTTAAAGCAATGGTTTGAATACTGGTGTAACTGGCTACTCCTTCATAGGCCGGTTGAAGTCTCCCACGTGGCCCTGACTTTTAGGGACTTATTTCTTCTGTCCTTTCTCTGCCCCCTCATCTGAATCCGGATATAGCAGAGAAAGACAGCGATGCAAAAGGACTGCCCAGACCACACTCATTCTGCAATTGCCAGGTGCCTTCCACCTCTGCTTGCAAACCTAGATGTTCATCTGAAGATTTTAGAAATATATCGTCTATTCAGCTGCAATCTACATCTACTATTTCCTTGGTTTCTAGTTTTTCTGTGAAACAATTTCTTGCCTAATATCAAAGGGTTCACTTCGTAAGGTTACTTTTGGAAGGCCACCTATGTGGGAAAGAAATGGATGCCGTGCATCCTCTTCTCTTTCACCAAATGGATAGACGACCCCGCGTGTTTCAGGTCACTTCCGGAGCATTTCTCAGCATTTACAAAGGTCCTGCTTTGTGAAATATGGCAGGATGAACGTGAGCTGGAGAGAGCCTGCACTCTTCGTTGAAGAACTGCTCCTTTGTGGGGCCTGTTGTTTCTTCTCAGAAATTGTAATCTATCGCCACCTGGTGGTCGCTCTGTGTACATGTTTGGAATAGCAAGAACTGGGCATTTTAAGATTTGCACAAGGAGATTTGCCCAAATATAAATCACCCCGTCCTCCTTGATTAATTTCTTAATATTAGAATATTTTTATCTTCCGAATAACAACGGGGAAGGGCCATTTGACAATTATCTGAGGAATTCAGCTTTCTTCTTTAGGAGAAATGATTGTAATTTTCAGTCCTCTCCAGCGTAATGACTGGAATTTTGCCTCCCCCGCCACACTTTTAACCCTTTCCTGCCTCCCAGGAGTGAGTGTTGTGTGGTCTTTTGGGATGGGGGTGTGAATTTAACCATAGTCCTCCAAGGGAAGTCCAGAATGATTCGGAGAGCTACTTAAAAGTAACAAACACAGAGAATGGACTTGAGCTCCGGCTTAAAGAAAAGCCGAATGCAAGGTTAAGCAATGCTCCCCCTAGCCCTCGTCTCAGGAGACAGACGTTTAAACAGTGAGCACTGCCTTTTCTTTGGTCATAAATTAGGTACTTAAAATAGACCTTCAAGAGCCAGCTAAAATGAACCAACACCAAGGCTTTAAATTACCTTTCCTGGAGGCTAAAAAAGCAAAGTGCGTCCAAAAAAAAAAAAAAAAATTGACGTTTCTTACCTACTCACCTTGATTGACCGTATTTTAGGCAAAAAAATTTCCCCCGCTGCCGGTTTGGCCGCCTCTTCCACGCCTTACACTCCCCCCGCCCACCCGTTTTTCCCTTTCCGGGGAAGACTCGGCCCCAAATCCGGTTGGAATATCTTTAAACCTCCCCGGGAAAGAGCGGAGGGTCGCGTTCCCAAGTCTCAGTCACGATTGACCTAAGGGAAGGTTGTTGTCCTCGGCAGACAGGACGGAGTAACCGGGGCTGCAGGCTCGCAAACCCCAAAATCCCGGGGGGGGGCGACACTGTAGGGGTCGCACGACGCCCCCTCCTTCCTTTTCCTTTGGGTCGTCGCGTTCGCATTTCTTCAAAGCGCTAAACCTTAGATCAAATGCAAACGAAACAGCTGGACGGACACCACGCCCTTCCGGGCCACCCCTCATCACCGGTGTGGGTCCCTGGAGAGGATATCTTTTTCCCACCCCTAATATCTGAAGCATCCACCCCCGGGGAGTAATAAAAGATCAAAGTGAAGAACACAAACAAAGATATAGTTTCCAAATGTTCTGACGAGCCAAATGACCACCACAGCCACCTTTAGTTCAAATTCTTAACAGGGGAGGAGAGGAGTGGGCCAAATACCCCACCCCCAACCCGGCAAAACAAACAGCGGTGACTGCCGGGAGGCAGGAGGGCGGGGGCGAGCTGAGCAACCCAGGGTTGGCCAAGAACGAGTGGCCGAAGCGGACGGACGCAAGGGAGGCGTGAGGGACAGAACCGCGGGTGCTGTCCTTGGTGCTGAAAAAAGCAGTACCCTGTCTCAAAACTTGATGCACTGGATCTGAGTGGAATTCCAGGCCCTCGATTCCTTACCATCCCTGCTGAGCCCAAGAGTCTGAGTTGGAGTGGGAGACAATTGAAAATTAAATCAAAAACCACGAAGTCTCTAAGTCTGCTACTCTCCCTGCTTCACCGAATGTCACCTCCATGAGCAAAGGATAATATAAATTGCAGGGACAACGTAAGCTCCAAGAGAACAATGCCTGGCCCATAGTAGGTGATTAATAAATATTTGCTTAATTAATTACTAATTTTAATTAAACATTTTAAAAGTAAGGAAGAGCAGGAGCTTTTATTCTTCTCCTTCTCTCCACAAAGAAGAAAGAGGGGGATGTCCTCGCAGCTGGACACTCGGCTTTAAGTTGCAGTGCCTAGTGCTGTAGGAGATTCTTTTTCCAACGAGTTTATTTTCTTGGCTTAAGCGTTAGGGTGAGCATTTTAGATTCTGGGGTAAGAGGAGGGAGTGGTTGGAAATTTCTCAATCTAGTGCCACAGGTGAAGTAAGCGAATCTTCCTTTCCAGGGAAGCTAGGATCTTGGGAGAAGAAGGTCGAGGAGACAGGGGGCGAGCGGGCGTCTATGCGGGACAGCGCACACCTAGGGGCACCCGGGTTTGTTGCCTCCTTCTTCCTGACTCCTTGCTCCGTGCGTCTTGATTCAGCGACAATCTCTTTTAGGGTAGACTCGAGGAGGGGCCGTGGGTGGAACTCCTAGGCTTCACCTTGTGAACTGCGCAATTCAAGCGGCGCGGAGAGGCTGCATGCCCACTTTTCTACGTGGAGTGGGCACCCCCACCCTGCCCAGACCGGAGCTCTGACACCCGGGGCTGTGGTACCTCGCGCCCCGCTGTTCAGGATGCTCTTGTGTCCTTAAAAAGTGCACGGGCTTTCATTGTAAGGTGGGGAGAAGGCGACAGTATTTTCATTAGCATTAAAGGGGACGCGGTTATTTCAAACCTCACAGCTATATCGAATCGTATCTTCACAGGGATCAATCTTCGATCTCCCTTATGGAATTTTCGGTGATTATAAGATTTTCGGTATTCCCACTACGTCGTGGTGAAAGGCGACAAGACATTCAGAGAGACGAGACGGGCTTCGGGTGAACCAGCGAGGCCCCAGATGTGCCCATAAATAACTCCTTCCTGCTGCACCGCAAGAGAGAATAATATAAAATAAAATAAAAATCACTGTGGAAACGAGTAAAAGAATCATTGAGTTCATGGTGTCACCCAGACACGCACAAAGGTTCACTTTATGTTGCCCTAAAGTAGAAGAAGCAGGGAGAGGAACGGGGAGAACACGCACTAGCGGGGCTGAGGGGAGGCGTGAAGAGGTGGGTACGTCACGGAGCCTGCCAGCCCCTCCAGGTGTCGGCGCCGCCGCGGCGCCGGAGGAAGGACCCGGACGGAACCGGCCTCCGGGTCTCGACGCTCTTGGCGCCCTCTGGTGGGAAGTTCTCCGTCAACGCCTTTTTACGGTGAGCGGCTTTTCCCAACACAGCGATTCATTAAATGTGCTTAAATATTGCAAAGGGAGAATCCTTAAGGGGCGTGAAATCGAAAGGGGAGTGAGGGGAGTGGGCCGGGGCTGCTCCGCCCCCTCCGGGGCCACCTCTGTTGTCCAGTTCCCCGTGCGTATGGAGCGGCGCTCGTGCGTGTTATTAACCTTCAGACGTGATCAATCAGGACTTCTTTCCCCATCACCAAGGGGACCAAAGCTAGCAGGGAGCGCCTAGAAAAAGGGAGACGGGGCCCTCTTCTCTGCCCGTGGCACCGGGTAGCTATGCTCAGGTGAGGTACTTTAGGGGAGGCCCCGGGCTGGACGAGGAAACTGGAGTGACGAGATGAAGATCCTCCTTGTTCTGAGTGGTCCCCCCTCATCTCTGTCTCCTTTGCTTTTACAACAATTCTGGCTCAGTAGAAAGCTTGCTAGGACACAACCCAGAACGTGCTTTGCTCGAGTAAGCGTAGCGGGGTCGCAAATCTGGGGAAACCGTGGGGAAAGGGATTGAGGCAAAGCCAGGGCTCTTGTCTCCTCCAAGATGGGGGGGGCGGGGGGAGGGGATAAAGGGGAGGGAAGAAAAACGCTCAGCTAGGCAGGATTCTTCGTAGGAATTATCTTTTCCCTCCTCTCACCCGCCACTCTGCCTATTGCAAAAAATAGAGCGTGTTGAGTACGTTCTGGATTACTCAGAGGACCTTTTTTCACCCCCGGGCGCAAATCCGTGAGCTGGATTTATAATCGCCCTATAAAGCTCCAGAAGCGGTCAGGCACCTGCAAAGGAGCCCCGCCGCTCGGCCGACGAGCCGCCCCCGCGAGCAGCGGCCTCGTGATTCCCCCGCGGAGCCGGTCCCCGCCTCCCCACTCCGCCCCCGCCTCCCCCAGCAGAGCAGCAGCCTCTCTCCACCTCTCTCCTCTCCTCCGGGCGCTCGCGTGCGGGACAGGGCTGGCGAGAGCAAGGAAGCAGCTGGAGGTAACGCCGGACAGATTACGCCTGTGTCAGGGCCCGGCCGAGCGGAGCCGAGCGGATCGCTGGGCGCTGCGCAGAGGGGCTGCTGGAGTGCCCGGCTCGCAGTCGCCGAACCGAGGTGAGTAAGCGCGCGACCGCCCGGACTTCCCAGCGCCCAGCCTGAGCTGTTCATCTGGGTCCTCTCCGCCCGCGGCTTCTCTACCAACCTCTACCCACGGCGTCAGCCACCCATCCTCCCGAGCCGAGTGCTTCCCGCCCGCCCCAATCCCCGCTCCTCGTTGGTGCGCGGCGCAGGGACCCCCGCCCTCTGCACTCTCCCGATTCCCGCCCGCCGGATTTCTGACCCGGAGATGCACAGAGGCTGAGGTTCGCGCTGAACTGGGGCGAAAGCGATTTTCCCTTGCGCTCCCAGGCTGTGAGCACCCGTCCCTCCAAAGGGCGCCTGGGCAGCAGAAGTCTAAGGCGCGACCAGGAGCGGTAACCTGTTACTTCCCCAGCAACCGTGGTTACCCGCCGCCGCTTTGCTGTGCGAGTGCGCGCACGGGGCTAGGTGTGGGGCCCGAGGGAGGGTGTGGAGGCGGTGGCGGTGGGCGCTTCTCTGCGGGGTCTTAGATCTACCCAGATTCGACCTCACTCTCTTCTGTCCCGGGGCCTTTGGACGCCATCGCCCCAGCGCTGAGCGCCGAGCAGGGGCATAGAGAACAGATCTTTGTCCGCCTCTTCCTGCGCGCTGGGCGCAAGTTCGTTTCCTGGGTGACGTTCCCCTTTCTTACCTCCTCCACCCTCTCCGTATTCGTACGGCAAGAAATCTAGGGTCCTCAGGGGGCTAGGTAGAGGAGAAACACCGAAACCGGGACGGAGTCTCGCCGTAGGTTTTGAGATGGCTCAAAACAGGGTGGGACAAGAGGGAGACGAAATACCCCAGCTGCTTTCCGACTGCCTGGAGTGCAAGGTGACTGTGGTTCTTCCTCCGCTAAATCTGAGGGAGAACGTAAAGATATGGACCTTGTATTCCTTTCACCTTGTCTCACCAAAGTCCCCGATATCCAGAGCAGTTGGCTTCCTTCTTTCCAGGGAATTAGCCAGACACAACAACGGGAACCAGACACAGAACCAGACGTGCCCGCCCCGTGTGCCCTTCCCCCGCCTGCCCGCACTCCTGCTGCTGAGAGAGCTCAGTGGGGCTTGTCGCGACTCGGATAGAAAATCGCGCACTGAGCGCTCCCTTGTGCTCCTAGCCCAGTCCCCCACACCCTCGTGTCCTGCACTGGCCTTGGGCCCCCTTCGTCTCAAGTGCTCGCTGCACTCAGGTCGCCCAGCTGCGCCGCCAGACTGAAGAGCCGCCGGCGGCTACGTTACCTGCGCCCCTGTCCCCGAGCTAGCGCGCACGTCTCCTCCACCCCCCAACCCCCGGCGCACCCGGACCCGGCCCGCTCGCTGCCCTTCCTCCTCTCTCTCTCCGCTGCCGGGACTTCAAGGGGAGCGTCGGCGCCCCCGGCCCCTCAGTCGCCTCCCGTGTGCAGTACCCCGGAAGCCCTTCCCGCACAGCTCTCGCTTCTCTTTGCAGCCTGTTCCTGCTGCCGACCCGCCGAGGACCCTGGACAGTAGAGGCCCCGAGACCACAGAGCTGATGGCGTCTTCGACCCCTTCTCCGTCCGCAACCTCCTCGAACGCGGGAGCGGACCCCAATACTACCAACCTGCGCCCCACAAGTAGGTCCCGCCCCGGCTTCCTATCAAATGAACTGAGGGGAAGATGGGGGGCGCTGAGACTTTGAGAGGCTGCGCTGGCGGAAAGGGAAAGGGAAGCGCGGAGACGGTGGGGGCTGGGAAATAAATAGGGCCCTGACCCGGGTCCCTGTCAGAGGGCATTCGGCTGTCAGGGACGCTAGATGACTCCCAGGGCACCGGAGAGCGAGGACCAAGCAGAGTTTGAGCGGCGGCGATCTCGCTGGGGGTTCCGCGGCGGGGGAGGGGTGCTCGGCGAGAGTGCTGTTTTTGTTGTGTTGTGCATGATTTCTTGGTGGGATAACAGGGGTCGGGGCAGGGGGCGGTGTGAAAAGCCGGGAGTCCCAGTGGGAAAGCAGTCTTCTGTCTCCGGCTTTCGTTTAGCTGAGATGTGACCTCCTCCTTTCTTCCTGCGCTGTGCTCAAAGTCTGTAATCAGCGGAAATTTCGACGTTAATTGCAGCGTTTAGAAAAAGCTCAGGGTCCCTAATTGCTCCAAATTTGCGTCGAGCTATTGACGAGTGAGGGAGAAGCCAGGGGCGGGAAAGGTGCGTAAAACTGAGACTGAGCCTCGACATTTCATACAATTAATTACATCTCGGAGACAAAAAAGGGAGAGGGGCAGCATCCTGAGTGGCGAGAGGTGGGGAACTGGGAGGGGGCAAGGAGGTTTGCCAGGGCGGGAGGAGAGTGCACCTCTCTCCTTTCTCCTGGGCAAGAGACCTGTCAGCAGGTGTAACAAGTCCTGAAGAGAGGGGAAGAAAGGGGGTACCAGATAAAAGAGGGGGATTTATGCTTCCCCACCCTTAGCTTGATGGGCTCCTCAACCCATTTCCAGCATCTGTCTTTGATTCGGATTGATTTCCTACGTTTGTAGAAGCAGGAGGATAAGGGAATTTTTTTCTTTTTCGGTGTTGAAGTGAAGTGTCTGCCCACCCCACCCCGCAAAAATCTATCAGCTCCAGACAGTAACGGCCCCAGAATTTCTATACAAGAGGGGTTTAGGGGGGCAAAGTGTGGTTAGAAGGAATGCTTACTGCTGCGCTTTTATGGCACTTTTATATAAGCTTGAGAAAATAATTGTCCTCATCAACGAAGGCGGGGAGGGTTGTTATCGGGAAAGCCCCCTCCCCAACCCTTTGGCGCTGGCAGGGGGTCCCGGGCAGGAGGCCTCAAGCCCTCAGGCCGCGTTCCAGTTTCCTTTTCAGTTCCCTCTTCCGCCACCCAGGCGGGCTACAATTACCCACATAACAAAGAGGGGCTCGGGAGAGCCGCCAGCCTGGTGGCACGTGAGCTGGGCACCGGCGGCGCAGCGCTGGCCGGAACAGGCCGGGGGGGAGCGCGAGGCCTGCGCGCCTTTTGTTCGTTGCTTTGGCCTTGATGGATTCCTTCTCCGATCCTCCCCACATTTCCCGCCCCCTTTTTGCTGCCCGGCTGTGTTGGGCGGCAGTTGCGTTCACCCACCTCTCGCGCCCCGATACCCTACTTTCCAGTAGCCGCTCGCCGCCGGGCGCAAATGCCTTGAGCAAATGCCTACGGGCTCTTCCACGCAGTAGAGGCGATGACCCTAGCCCATACGTGGCCTGGCGCGCCCGGAAGCCGCGGAGGCGAGGGAGCCAAGGATCCCGCCCAGGAAGAGTAAACAGCACCTGTCCCAGCAACACAGTCTCCAGCCCTCAACAGCCCAGTCCCAGCGTCCGCACCCCAAGCTGCAGGCGCACGCCCCGCGCTCTTCCACTCCCACCCTCCCTTGCAGACACACCCTCGCCCGCCCAGCTGACTGCATTTCTCTGCCCCTTCTAGGTCTCCTGGGAGGTGTCCTTGCCCAGCCGCACATCTTTACTCTCCCTCTTGCTCCAGCAACCCCTGAGCCGGGCATGGAGCCCTTCTTGCCCTCGGCAACTAGGTCTTCCCGACCCCTGCTACATCAAAGAGGCTCTCTCACTGTTTCTCCCCATCTTTCTTTCCCTTTCCTTCACTGTAACCCCCAATTTTGAAAGGTAGTGCATTGTGTCTGAAATCCAACCTGCCCGCTAACCTGCCCGCTGAGTGACCTTGGAAAACTCTCTTAACCTCTCTGAGCCTCAATGTTCTTTGAAAAATGAGTCTTAGATTAACACTCCTCTTGCCTGTTTCATAGGGTTGTTATAAGGATTAGATGAGATGATGTTTAACGTGAAAGCTCTTTATCGGGTGGAAATAGCTTTCTACCCTTGAGGTGTTATTATTAGGGCTTTGTTTTGCACCGATTTCCTGTCTCCCTGGAACTGCATCTGTGACATGCTTTCTCACCGACATCGGACTGTTTCTTCTCTCTGCTGGGGCTCTGCTGTGCCTTGGGTTTAATGGATGTCACTCTCCTTATCGCAGCCAACACTCGCGCTGGGCTGGAGGCGAGGGCCGGGGTGGGGTGGGATGGGGTGGGAGATGGAAGTGATTGGAGGCCCTTGCTTTGAGGGATCGAAAGGGGATTTCACGCTGGGCCGACCACACCAGCCCGCGCGAGGGCTTCGCAAGCACCGGGCTGCTTTCTGCTCCTTGCTGGAAGTTGAATCCCGAAGGCAGGTAGATCCTGAGGGGGTTGAGAACAGCTGGTAAAGAAGGAAAATCCGGCAGCCCCTGGGTCTGCGGTTCGGACCCAAAGAAAAGGTGCCTGATTTTATTCCCCTTAGCCTGCTGCGGACCCGAGATGTCCGAGGGAAGGGTTAACGAGGGGCAGGTTGGGAAGAGGGGTCTGGGGATGAGGACGGGAGGCGCACTGTTGTCTTCCCGACTCCCCAGTCTGACTGAAGAGCAGCCATGCGAGCCCGATCATCTAGTCAAATACTATTTTTCACCCAATTAATTCCTGAACTCTTCTGCGACCCCATTTCATGCCAGTTTATTTTAAGCTGCCACTCGGCTGGAGACCCGCCAAGAAATTATGAGACGTTTCGGTCCCAGATGCCTCTGTGTTCCCTTTCTGGGCTGCTGTGGTCTCCCCTCGAGTCTGCCGGGCCTGGCCGGTTGGTGCCGGACAACTTGAGCGGCGGGGCCTGGCCCTTTGCGCGTGGGCTCAGCCTTCGCCCCACCCAGACCTCACCTCTGCGGTTGCCCCTCGGGGGTCCCGGCAGGGGCTGGGTGCCCCGTTTTTCATGAACACCGTTCTATACCTGAAGCCAGAGCGGGAAGGGGGTGTGATGGAGCTCGGAAGGAGGGCCCGAGTCTGCCTGTCGGCCCACAGACCTGACTCCTTGCTCCTTTCGGGAAAGAGCTTTTAATGAGGAGCACTGGAGAAGACCTCTCCCTCCCCCAAGAAAACCTGTGTCCTCCTCCCAGTCCCCACGGCCTGAGCCTTCCTGACCCGCATCTCTCTCGCTCTCTCTCTCATCCTAGCGTATGACACCTGGTGCGGTGTGGCCCATGGATGCACCAGAAAACTGGGGCTCAAGATCTGCGGTAAGTGAAAGGGCGGGCAGGGGCCCAGCACGGCGCACGGGCCTTGTGGGTTTGGGAGAGTGGGACGCTCGCGGAAGGGGATCCCGGCTCTTAGGTCCAGTTTCCTAATGTAATTACAGCCCCTGTGCCGGGCAGAGGCGGTCCCCTACCGGCCCTGACCCTGCCCCGCCCTCCTTTGACCCGGCCCGCAGGGGCCTTTTCCTGTGGGGTCCCTGACCCCCTCAAACCTCGTAGAAGGAACGCGGGCGCCGGGTCTGGGCGCGCAAGCAGGGGCACAGCGCCCCCGCGCGGCAACCCGGATCTCTTAGGCCGACGCCAGGGCCGCTACGACCCGCGAGCTCTGCGGGAGCGTCTCGAAGGTCGCCTAGAACAGGTGAACTGGCCTGGCTTTACTAGAGAGCAGACCAAAGGCGCGGTGTCTGCCTAAGACTGGCTGACACCTCGTCCTCCTCCCCTTCATCATCCCCCACCCCCACCCCCACCCCCGGTCTATGAAAGTGGCGACCTTCTGGGCCGAGGTTTCTGTGCTGAGATGTCATAACGGATTCAGACGTCGTTCTCTGAGGCCTCGGAGGCCAGCGGAAAGGATTTCCTGCGGCCCTCGGTGGCCTCCCTGGGGGAGGTGCCGACAGCTCGGGCAGGAGCGGTTGCCAGGTGTATCCTTGAAGGCGAAGAGAAGAGAAAGGGGCAAGTGGGGACGCGCGGCCTCAGCGGGTGGGAGGACAGGGGGTGTCACGATTTGCCAGGGAGGAAGGAAAATAGATCCAGGAGCTGGAGAGAACTGCTCTCTGGAGACGTGAGGGTCTGAAATGAAAACGCCCTGGGGATAAAAATTTTTAAAAGGAAAAAAGGAGATTTGTTCGAAGGGACACAGTTGAGTGGCTCCGGCTGAACAATGAGGACTTGCTTTCCTTGCTACATTTCACCGTCGAAAATTCTCCAGCCTTATCTTGCCAGAAAATACGGATGTCCCCGGGCAGGGGGTGGAGCGGCGGGGGAAGATTAACGAGGCGCTTATTAAAGAGCCATCCGTCAGCGGCTGCGCTGCGCGCGGGAGATAGCGGCGAGCACACGCCGGCCCGGCCCCGGGAGCCGGGAGCAGGTCGGAGAGTGGGTGCTCTCTGGGCCCGGGTTCCCCAGGCCGGTGGCAGTTTGGAGTTTGAGCAGAGAGGAGTCATTCAGCAGCTGGTGGGAACCACCGCCTTCCCCGCTTGGCCGCGCCACGCCCTCGCCCCCCTCCCGCCCCCGTGTTTCTGGGGCTCTGTCCCCTTGATCCCAGGACCCAGCATTTACGGCGACGAAGGGGAGCTCGCCTCCTAGACCCAGCCATTTTCCAGGGGGAAGCCCGGCCCTGCCGCGGAGCGGCCCGGGGGGTTGGCTCCCTCCCCAGCACGCGAGGCCCGTGGGGCAAGGCCAGGGCCGCGTCCCTGCGCCGCGGTGGCCAGAGGCAGCCGAGCTTTGTTCTATAAATAGCCCCCTCGCACCCACAACCCCCACCCCGCCGCCATTCCGGGCTTAATGGCGCGTTTCGCGTCGGGTCCCTTCAGCGGCCATGGCGCTTGGCTTCTGCAGCCGTCATTGTCATGCAGCCGAGCAAGCAGAACTGAGCGAGTCCTGGGCGCCCGCCGCGTCCGAGGACACGGTGGGGGCAGGCTCAGGGCGAGGCTGCCTTCCCTGCGTCCCCGGCCTGCAGCCCTCACCCACCCCCTACCCTCCCCCTGCTGCCCCGGCTGCAGGCCCTCCGGGTCGGCGGAAGAAAAGGTCTAAGCGCCCCTTCTGGGGACATACCCTGCGTGTCCTGAAAGAGTAAAGGGGCAGGAAAGAGTTGGGCATCGATGAGTCTGCAAATACAGGAGGAGAGTTGGCATCAACTCCCCCTCACCCGCTGCCAGCCAGTGCCTTGAGGGAGAGCTATTGGGCATTTGGGAGCTACCATCCTCAGAGATTTCTTCCCTGTTTCTACACACCCCGTCCATAATACTAATTTCAGAAAAGTTGCAACCCGTGTGACAGAAGAGGACAGGATAGTCTGAGGGGAAACTGCCTTCTGCCAAAACGCTCTGCGTTTAGGGCCACAGGTTAGGAGGCTTCCTTCCTATTAGGTTTGATTCTTAGAGGAAACAATACCGGAAGGATTTAATTTTCATACTTTGTGCCAACTCTGGCTTCCCATTTTACTCTAGTGGAGGGAAAGTGCAGTCTTTGGTTTGGGCCCTGGATCCAAGGCCAGGGAGTAAAGCTGCAAGGAAGCCCTAGGTCCAACCAGTAGGTAACCTTAGCTGGGGCAACAGAACCCTCCTGGGACACTAATCAGCTAGAAGAAACCCAGGGTCTTGCCAAGAGCCGGAGAGTGGCTGCAGGCATGGTGGCATGACCTAAATAGAATGAGTCACAGGGATCCCTAAGTTCTGGCCTTAGGCTCTGCTAACTTCCCAATGTGTCCTTGGGCTTCCGCCCCCGTCTGTGCAGAGGTCCCAAACTTGCTACCATTTACAGCCCCTGAGCCGTTTTATTTAGTCCACACAGTGTGTGTGTGTAATTTTTTTAATCAGTTGCCAACTTTTAAAAATACAGAGACCTTGAATATTCTTTATCTCTGGTTTCTCTTGAAAAAAAGGGGGGGGGGCGGATCTAGCAGTGTGCTGTTAGCCCATAAAAATTGGAAAAAGAGCCCCTTCTTCTAAGCAGATGCAATTTCATGCTACAGCTTGGTGAGCAGAGAATATGCTGGGCTTCTGCCTCCATGTGCCCCTTTGCCATGCACCCTTATTCCATGACAGCTGGAAGCCCCACTTGGAAACAATTGGCTGCAGCCAGGCATTTCACTGGGCCCCCTAGGCTTGTGAGGAAGCAGCAGCAGGAGCTGCCCTTGTCCCAAACATGGAGTCATGACAGGGCTCGCCTCCTATTCTCCCCTTGAGGCTGGCCAGAGGGCTATAACCACAGCTGCAGCTTCAGCCCTCCTCAGCTCTCCTCTTTGCCTCTAAGAATGTACATCTGTACCAGTTACCCTCAGACTTCGACTAGGTCCTCACACCTGGGGTGTAGAGCAAAAGAGAGTACAGTCTGCTTTAGTCTCAGAGACCCCTGCTTCCAGACCCCTTGCCTGCCAGGGAAGTTGTCAAAATACCCACCTCGATGTCATCCACCACCTCCCCATCCTTGGGGAAACAGTTTCCTCCAGGGCCTCTCAGAGCCAAGAGAGGTCTGGATCATTTACCCTTCTTGAGGATCTGATATTTCAGAAAACAAACATATTTCTAAACAAAGTGACAATATACATTAAATGTATACATTACCGACTTAATGGCTTTTAACACATTATAATGCAATGTAAGTGTGCTATTCATAACATAATTACAGGATTTAGAGAAAATTCTGATTCCTAGTGCACTATACCTCCTGTCCCAGAATGGGATGCAGGTTTAAAGTTGTGTCATAATTATCATCTCTCAACCCCATCAGGACATCTCTGGGGGAGCCTGTGTCAAAACCTTTCTTGGAGATAACATCCAGAACTTGAACTAAAGTCCTGCCCCTCGCAGCTGCCCAGAGGAAAGGGGTTTCTAAAGGGGTTTCAAGGTGGGAGACTTTAGGTTTTCCCAGGGAGTGGGTCTGAAGCCCACTGAGAGGTCAGAGACTGCAGAGTGGGATTCAGCTGGGTATGGCCTCACCCACATTAAGCTGCTTGGATTTGGTCTTTCTGGCCTAGCAAATTCCACAGCTCACTGTTCTGGGACAAGGGGAGCAGTCTCCGAGTTCAGGAGCCAGGTGATCCTTCATGCCTCTGGTAAATGAGTGCTGGCTCCCTGCTCTGGACTCTGATGATTTGGAGGAGGGATTCAGAAAGTAGGGGAAGAGGGGAGGAAAAGGACACTCCACTCATCTTTATATCCAAGTGTGGAGCTCTGTGATAGTGTATTTCCCCCTTCTGCTGTTCTTTTGGGCTTTGGTGACAAGTTTAAAAGGTGCTGGGAACAATGGAGGACCTGCTACCTCTGCCTGCCTATTCTTCCCTCCAAAAATAGACCCGGGCTCCTGTGTGTGGGAGGACGCTAATCACCATATTCTTCCTCTACCACCCTCCTTTTCCCACCCATCACCATTGCATTGCAGTCCCAGGGAAGTAAAGCTGAATTGCCCTTTCTGGCACCTCCTGGGACTTTCTTCCAAGCCTGCCTTGTGACATGTGTGACTACCCAAGGATCCTGATATCTACAAAGACAGCTTTGGGGTCACCAAGAAGCTCAGAACTTTCTTCCTCCTTTCAATGTGTTATATTACGGGCTAAGGTTGAGGCTGAACTGGAGAAGATGCTGAGAGAGAGTAGATTTGTAGGCAGGGAGCCCCTAAGGGGATAGGTGGAGGTGTGTGGAGGGGCGTTCCTAGTTGGCACATTCTCCAGCCCTTTCTGCTCAACCTGCTTCCCGGTTTGCTGCTGGTGTTGTCTGTACTGCTGACCTCAGGTGGGAGAGATTTCCACCCCATCTGAGGGGCAGAGGTGAGGCACTGAGAATCCCGCCCTGGGCTCAGGATTCATCCCTGTGGAGTTCTCGGATGACTTTCTATCATTATTACAACATTGGCCACCATCGGCCAGACTTTAAGTTCCTGGAGGGTGAGGGATCTCTCTCAATTATCTTTATCCATCCCCTGTCCTAAATGCTTAGCAAAGTGCTTTCATACAACAGGTGCTTAATAAGTACTTATAGAATTAAATATCAGCACACATATGATTTTACACTTTCTTGTCTATTTCCTCAATACCTTCATTCAAGGAGAGGGGGTGGTACAGGAAAAGCTGCACTTCAGGTCTGGCTCAGAAAAATTACACTTATATTCAACCCTGTGAGTGTTACCGAGGAAAGAAGCATCTTCCCTAATCCCCAGTGTTGGACCTCACCCCTCCTCCCTCTGTTGTCCTCACCCTCCTCCCTCTGCTGTCCTCACCCTCCTCCCTCTGCTGTCCTCACCCTCCTCCCTCTGCTGTCCTCACTCTCCTCCCTCTGCTGTCCTCACCCTCCTCCCTCTGCTGTCCTCACCCTCCTCCCTCTGCTCTTCTCACCCCTCCTCCCTCTGCTGTCCTCACCCTCCTCCTCCCTCTGCTCTTCTCGCCCCTCCTCCTCCCTCTGTTGTCCTCACCCTCCTCCCTCTGCTCTTCTCGCCCCTCCTCCTCCCTCTGCTGTCCTCTTCCCTCCTCCTCCCTCTGCTGCCCTCTTCCCTTCTCCCTCTGGTTGCACAGCCCTAAACCCAGAGCTGGCAGCATCCTCTCTGACTGTGTCTCTTCCTTTAAAACCTCATCCTGGGGCTGGTTACTGGAGTGGAAGCTGTCCAATTGACTTAATTCTGAGTTCACTGTCACGTTCAGAGAGGAGAATGGGCTTCACTTACTGTTTTTCTCTCTTGCATGACTGGGTCTGTGCCACTGATGACACTTGGCACTGCCCCCTCCCCGCCTGAAGGCGAGCAGTGCCAGAGACACTATGTATAAAGCACAGACACAGCTTCTTTCACAGGAGTGAGAGCCCTGCTTGGAGAGTTGTCCTGGTCCAGCAGCTGACCTCGGTGGCTGCGTAGTTCGGAGTGCTCCCTCTGACCCAGCTTCTCATGCCATAGGCTTCTTGCAGAGGACCAACAGTCTGGAAGAGAAGAGCCGCCTCGTGAGTGCCTTCAAGGAGAGGCAGTCCTCCAAGAACCTGCTGTCCTGCGAAAACAGCGACCGGGACACCCACTTCCGGCGCACAGAGACCGACTTCTCCAACCTGTTTGCGCGAGGTAGTCCCTCCCCACACTCCCAGCCCAAGTGCCGTCCAGTGGTCTCCTTATTTCAGTATCTTGACTCTTTCCTGAAATTTTACTTCTTTTTACCAAGAAATGTCATTGTTCTTTCTGAATCCTCATGAAACTGCTTTCCAGCATTGGACTATAGCAGACTCCCTCCTTCCTTACTGCCCAGTTCTCCATCATTTTGGAAGCTAGATGAAGGCAGCCAAAGTAACACTCAATTCTAAACACACCTTCAGGCACAAATATGGATGCATGGAATCTTAGAATCCAAAGAATTCTTACATATGAAAAAAGTCTAGTGATTCCTTAATAACATTTATCCTCCAAGATTGGCCAATTTAAAAAAAATAATAATTCACCATTTTGGAAGCTGTATGGCTGGGCCTTATAACCAAAGACTGTCCTGAAACTCATTTCCCTTTTGGAGATCTTCCACTAATTCCTGCTGTGCCCATAACACTGGAGATGCTTTACCAGTTTCTCCCAAACTCATTAACTCACCACAGCATCACAGAAGCCAGACCAGAACAGTAAACAAGACTTCACTAGGACCTCAGATAATCCAGGGACTAGACACAGAGTGCCATGTACAGTGCTTCCTGATCTTGAGCTATGGCAACCTCAACTGGGGCCCCTACAGCTTTCCTTCTTGGCTAACGCCCCCCACATGCACCCCCAGCGTGACTGTGCCTAGCAGAGCCCATGGCCCAAAGACATCTCTGGACATCTCAAAGTCCAAGTCCAAAAGGATGATGTCAAGAGAGAGCCAAGGGTCCCCTCTCCCACCTTCCTAAGCCCTATCTTCCAGTTCTAGTTTCCTGAGGACATCATGAAGGACCACCCCCTTCAGGGGGAACCTCATCCTCAACCCCCAAAGCCTTTACCTTCTGCCATTAACAGATCAAGCACATCATAACACTAGACCAGATGTACTGGGACACACCTGGCCACAGGGAACTATGACAGAAGTCCCCTCCATCACACTCCTCACAGGTGCCCACTCGGCCTGCAAATGGACAACCACAAAGGCAGGTTGCCCATGGCTTCTCAAAGCCCTTCCTTCCTTGTGTGAGTAGCCTAACTCTCAGAAAGCCTGCGAGCCCCCAGAAACTGTACACAAAGTTTCAGTGTCAGTGCATATGTGCATTTTTCTGGGGATATGGTACGTCAGATACTCAGTGCGTATACGTATCCTGGAATGAAATTAGGCTCGTCAAGACATGGCTGATATTAGGGATCTCTGGACCTAGGAAATCCAGACATGAGTCAGATGGTAACCATTTGGTGTTCTCTCCTCAGACCTGCTTCCAGCTAAGAACGGGGAGGAGCAAACCGTGCAGTTTCTGCTGGAAGTGGTAGACATACTCCTCAACTATGTCCGCAAGACATTTGATCGCTCCACCAAGGTGCTGGACTTCCATCACCCACACCAGTTGCTGGAAGGCATGGAGGGCTTCAACTTGGAGCTCTCTGACCACCCCGAGTCCCTGGAGCAGATCCTGGTTGACTGCAGAGACACCCTGAAATATGGGGTCCGCACAGGTAAGGAGGAGAGCCAGGTAGACGTTCAGTACAACCTTGCCCTCCATCTCGCCCGGGCCAGTTGTGAGGATGCAAACTCATGCAGAAGGAGAAACACAACCCTGGGGAGGGAAGGCAGCAAAGTGCTTAGTGACCACAAGAACAAAAACAACCTTGAGCAGTAACAGTTGAGGGGAAGCCCCAACTCTGGCAAAAGCTCATCATCATTTATTGCTGTAGGAGCAGATTTAAAAGATACAAATACATGGTGCTAGATCAAGTTCTATATAAAGGGTTGTCATTCTTAGTTTTAGGCTACTCACAACCTAAAGACAGCAGAGTGACCCATTCCCTACTTCTTTTCTCACCTCTGTTTTCATGCCTATAAATCTGATAAATCCTACCCTTCCCTGTCCCCAACATCGGGGAGAATTGGGCCCATTTCCCTCTTTTTCTGTTTTAGTTTCCTAGGGCTGCCATTACAAATTACCACAACCTGGGTGGCTCAGAACAATAGAAATTGATTCTCTCACAGTTCTGGAGGCTGGAGGTTCGAAATCAAGGTGTCAGCGGGGCCGTGCTCTCTCTGAAGGCTTTTGGAGAGGATCCACCTTTGCCTCTTCCAGTTTCTAGTGGTGTGGGTGTTCCTTGGTTTGTAGCTGCATCACTCCAGTCTGTACCCTCACCTTCACATGACATTCTCCTTGTGTGAGTGTGCCCAAATTTCCCTCTTCTCATAAGGATACCAGTCTTCAGATTAGGGCCCACCCTAATCCAGCTGACTTCATCTTAACTTGATTACATCTGCAATTTCCAAGTAAGGTCACATCCACAGGAACCAGGGATTAGGGACTCGGACGTCTTTTTGAGGGACACAATTCAACTCATGTCACCTTCTATTGACTAGGCCAAAAAGTCACACATGCCTCCTTTGCTTCTACACCTTCTGGAGTTTAGACACTCTGAGTCACCAAATCTTGTTAACAACTGGGAGTCCTTGAGGATGCCCTCTTGCCTCCTTTTCATATTACAGAAGCCCTCTCGAAATCAGCAATCCTGGCCAAAGTTACTTTCCAATTGCCTCAAGTTCAAGGACTTCTTGAACCTCTGGCTGAGCTGTTCTAAGCCTACGAGTGAAGCAGTGACTTCTCTCTCCCCCCACCACAGCCTGGCTTTCCTGAGCTCCCAGGCAGACACATCTATAGGAACTGGCCATCCCTGGCATAGTTGCCACCACAGGGGAAACCACCAAGGCCACAACTGGCAGCACCTTGTTCTTTTTTCTTCTTTCTCCTTCTCCTTTATTTCCGCTCTCCCTTCTCAGTTATTTGAAGATAGATTTAAGACCAAGACTGGGGAGGCTGGTGGTGATAGAGCTGAGTAAGGCTGTTGGATGTCAAAAACAAAGTGTTATAATGAAATAATGAGGCTGGCCAAAGAAGCTTTTTTAAATGAGGAATCTCAAACAGCTTTTGAGGTCTGCCAACAACACTGGAATAACTTGTGGGTGGAGAAGACTCCATATGTACAAAGTCTGTGTGTTTTTGATTTTTAAAGAAAAGCAGTCATTTAGTTATATCTTATCATGGTCTCCCGATGGAGAACAAGTAGTGTTATTTGGCTGGATTTAAAGAGTCAGAATTCCCCATGTATATTTTTGCTTGACTTGCTTTGGTCCAGTGTTTTTAATTTTGTCAGTTCACTCTACGTACACTTTCTCAGAGAGACGGGGACCGTGTACTTTTATCATTAAAGCCGAGAATGGTGGTGTCCCTCAAAGAAAAATACATAACTTTCTCATAATAGTATCTCATATCATCTACAAAACTGAGGCATCTCATGGTCAGAGAGAGCACAGGCTTTCATTAGCCCAGCGTATGAATCTACTTCGATATCGAGCCTGCAGCCGTCCTTCCTTGTCCTTCAGAGCAGCTTCCGGGAGCACGTATACACATTTACAGAGTTCACAATCTTCCAAGCAATGTGAAACCTTCTGCTGAATCTCAGGGGTTGACCCCAGTACAAGTATACTGTTGCTGCCACATCAAAACACAGCTCCTGGTTGTCTGTCTGTCATTTAGGTATAGGTACAGGAGCAATAGGTAAACCCTGCATGTAGTTACACACAGTGAAAAAAAATTTTTTTAAAGGATATTAATGCATTATTGCTCAGCCAAAGTAATGAATTAGGTTTTAATAGTGAAAACATACTCATCTGGGTATTGTCTGTGAAGGGATGATGATGGCATTTGGAAATTCCTGTACACATTAACAAAAGACTTCTTAAAAAAGGAACCAGCATATATAGATTCTGCATGAACTAACAAAGGTGTTACTCAGCCTTCAACCACAGCAGCTACTTAGGTGATATGTAGATATGCCAGACTTTCTTAGTTGTTCTTTTTTAAACTTATTATGGAAAATTTTAAACTTATAGAATTGTATAATGAACCCTGTACATCCAACACCCAGCACTCACTCCTGCCAATTTTGTTTCACCTCTACCTCCATCCACTTCCTACTCTTCTATATTCCATGGAATCAAATCCCCAATGTAATATTATTGCATCCATACATGCTCTTTATCCTCAAGAACTCTTAAAAAAACAAAAGCCACATCATTGTTATTCCTAAAAATATTTACAGCTCCTTAGTATCATGAAATGTTCAGTCAATGTTCAAATTTCCAGTTGTCTCATGAAGGTCATAAATGTTTTACTTTGTTATAATTCATTTGAATCAGGGTCTGAATAAGTCCTTCACATAGCAATTGGTTGATATATCTCCTAATTAATAGACTCTCCCTTCATCTTTTTTTTTCTTACAGTTATTTGTTGAAAAACTTTTTAAAAAATAACTTTTTTTCTTCCTGTACTTGACTTTAGGTCATGTGCTGCTAAGTACCATGTCTGTCATCTGTGATTTTCATTGAATATGGAGAGTTGATGTTGAAATTTGAACTGGGTTATTTTGTTTTTGTAAAAATTCTGGTATAAGATTTTGGGTGTATAAGGTTGTAGACCTAAGCTAAAAGTAAGGTTTGGGGAGACTTTGTGTTCTTTACGTTTTCATGGACAAAGAGGGACTGTTTCACTTTGTGCCATTCTCTCTGTCATTGTCTATCTTTTGTCTCTGCAATTCTGTGTGGTTTTGATATTTATCAAATAGTGTTATTGAATTTATTTATGATTCAGTCCTGTCTTGAAATGTTGGCTGTTAAAAGTTTTCAAATGGGTATCACACATATAATTTAATGGACTTCAACAAAATTAGTTGCATCGTAGGAGATCTCACAGATTCTGTTCTCACTGAGTAGAGTAAAATAGATACTTTAAGTTGTTTAGAATAGTCTACATGAACATCTGGAATCTGGCCCCATACTTCTACTAAGTTTACTGGTTATGTTTCTTTTGTTTTTTTTCTAAAACTCTTGTTATTTATTTATTTATTTATTTAAAGACGACCGGTAAGGGGATCTTAACCCTTAGCTTGGTGTTGTCAGCACCACGCTCTCTCAAGTGAGCTAACCGGCCATCCCTATATAGGATCCCAACCCATGGACTTGGTGTTCTCAGCACTGCACTCTCCTAAGTGAGCCATGGGCTGGCCCTAAAACTCTGGGGTTTTTTTTTAGGACTTTTGAGATGCAGGGATTGGTAAGAAGCCATAGTCCAGATGTTCTGAGTGAGGCCCTATCACACCTGGAGAAGAACAGACATTCTCAGAGAGGGGAGCTAGAGCAGGAACACTCAAACACTAGCTCCCTGACAGTTATTTTAGAGGCAAAGGCAATTTCCACTGGAAACACAGCAGTCAGCATATCTTTCTAACACTAGTTCTCTGTCACACATCCCTAGATAATCTATTGCGTTGACTCCTTTGTGACGACTGAGCCAAGTCTGGAGTTGAGTTGAGTTTTCTGGTGAACGCCAGAAAAACTTGGCAACAACCCCGAATTTGTTAAGGCAAAGCCTGTTAAAGCACCTTGTGGGCATCACAGGGCTTTAGAGTCATGTAATAATAATAGTTATTTCACTAACAACTCAATGAGTGAATGAAGTTGTGTCTGCCCATTTCACAGAAGAGATGCTAGGTCATCTCAGCAATACACTTATTTTAACAGTCACCTGACTATATATGGACAGAACACACCAATGCTTAACGTCATAATTGTCACAGAGACCCAGAGAGTGATGGAATGCCCTGATCATCAGCATCAGCATCAGAGCTGGCACTTTCCCCTAGCTTGGTTTAGTCCACAGAGCCAAGAACCCTCTCTGGAGACTGCAGCCTCTCCTCCATCAGCAAACCTTGATTTGGGGATTAAAATCCTTAGGATGTTAAATTAAAAGTTGAAACGGGGAAAAAATCAGTATTACCACATTCCCTTTTGTAATGAAAACAATTAATGTGACAGAAAAGTTCATCTAGAAGTAAACAAATAAGGTATTGGAAAGCATGATAAGTTTCATGATACAGGATTTTTTTAATTTAAAAGCATGATACTTTAGACACACAGAAGTTTGGGGGCCATTGTTAATGCCAGAGGTTGGTATAGTGTGGGTCAGTCTGCCCTTTCTTCTCTGGTGTCCATGGGGAGCCCTGTTAGACTGGGCCAATGGGGCAGGTTTTTACTTTGAAGATAGCCTGAAAAGCTGGGTTTGCCTTGATGCTTGCCTGTTACTCTCCTCTCTAGGTCATCCTCGATTTTTCAACCAGCTCTCCACTGGATTGGATATCATTGGCTTAGCAGGTGAATGGCTAACGTCAACTGCCAATACCAATATGTAAGTCCCACATATTCTTCTATATAAGAAATCATGATATATCACTATGACTTGTTGCTTTAAAAGCCCAATTCCAGTGGTTCTATTTTATTAAAGTTTTATTTTAATAAAATTGCCTTGGTCATCTTTTCTTTTAAAATCTTTGAGGTTTGTCACAGTTCTGGTCTAATAGCAGATGCTTGATAAACTATTTTTGAATTGAATAATGTAACTTAATGAGAGTATGGTCATGAACAATAATAACTCTAGCTTTCAAATTTTACTCTGATATTCCATGTTAAATGACCCCATTTCTCTTAATGGTGTATCTAAAGAGGTCATGTTTGGCGATATGGTCTTGGTTCCTTTCCCCATCCAAGCACATTGGTCCTTATAATTTAGGTAATATTTTCTTCATAATTAAAGCTCCCATGAAGTCCTAAATCAATTTGATCAACTTATTGCTTAACTAAAAATTCTGAAACAAAATTCAGCTGCTGCTGACACATTATGTATTCCTTTCAAAATAGCTGTTTTGCTGAATTTGACATTTCCCCCCCATACTTGTTTGTGTAGATAAAGCCTTTGTTTGTTTCTAAGTTCTTGTAAATGTATATGAAACTGACTCTAAGGCCCTGGGGGGTGCAAGTACTACCTGGGTAGTCTTCTTACAGTCACTCCAAAGTTTCCTCTATATACATGTGCCCTCTTTGAAGAGAAGGACAGGATACAAGTTGATAAAGGGTCATCACAGCCAACAGAATAGGTTTTTCTCAACACTAGTGACAATGTTTAACCACTACCCAGACAATGACACTACATTTTATGAAAGTATCCAGGGGAAAATAATGAAACAAATTTCTTACAATAATTCAAAAATAACTGCATAAGAATGATATGGGTATTAGTCGCTGTAGTAATGTTCAGAAAATAGCCACCCACTTTTTAAGTTCATGGTAAAGTAGATTCTGAAAAATGAATTTAGGCGAAAGGGTGGTATTGTTTAAAATGAGAAATTCCATTTGACATCAAGATGGAATGTATGTTATTAAAGTTCAAGGTATTCTATTTTTCTTAAACAAATTACTACCAGCCACAAAACCTGAAGGACATTTTAAAATTATAGATTGATTTATGTGTGTTCCAAAGCTGTTTAATGCTGGGACACAAAATACTTAACTACTTTCAGAAAAGTTTCTATTAATTAAGGATTTGTGCTTTGTTTGCTAATTTAAAACAACAATGACAATTTTTAAAAAGCAACCATGACAAGTAAAGCCTTTAGTGCTGAAAGGCATAAAAGATTAAATTGATTGAAATACTAAAATGGCTTTCATGCTCCCTGCTCTCAAGTCATGGTTAACTTCACGGAGTGTCCACATTGGATCAGTGAGACTCTGAAGGGCTGAGAGGAATTTAGGTCAAAGACACAATTGCTAGGATGGTCTCCTCAAACAAAAAGCTCCCCTTTGTGGGGCTGGCCGTTTAGCTCAGTTGGTTAGAGCATAGCTTTATAACACCAAGATTATAGGTTCGGATCCCTGTACCAGCCAGCTGCCAAAAAAAAAAAAAGCAATCTTTACTGTATGATTTGTGAGATAAAAATATACCAGCAAGCATAGACATCATAATACACTAATTGTAACTTGAAAAAAGACACTAATGCTTAATTGTAGCATCTAGCACTAGTAAGGAACAATTTGAATTAGAAAATACAGTTGGTTTTAGTTATTTTTTAATTCAGCTATTTGGAAAATAAATAAGAAAAGTATAGTAAAAGGTACATATCCATTAAGGCCCAAGTACCCATATTAATATAGGCACTGAACTCACCCAGCATCTTTAAGTATGTATTCTCCAGGTCTCTCAGCTGCAATTTCCTTATATAGCCAATCTCAGGGTAGATAAAAGGAACTCACCTTTTTGAACCATTTATGGCCATTCTACTAAAAGGCTTTTTTTCAGCCAGAAAAATCCCACAAATTCTCCTTTTTTTGTATGTGTTCATAAAATCAAAGTCCCTTACTCTTCCCTTAATTCAGCTCAGCCATGAAACACTAAAATATGTCCCAGCCATCTGAGGTCAAGGCCAGTCCAACTAAATGACACACAGTAATTGCAGCTGTACTCAACAGAAGATATTTATAAAATATGATCCGATTCCAACAGATCAATAGAGAAGGTTATTTAAAATAGTGAAATAGTTTCTGTCAGTTCTAGAGACAAGGTATTGTCTAAAGAAGTAATAACTATTATCTAGAAATTGTTCTAAGACAGTTCCCTGGAAGATCATGAAATGTGGCAGCACTGTCAGGAGCTCAGACAGAATTTTCTCCCTTGTGACAATTCCTTCTTCAACTGGGAATGGTGTGCAAAATAGGTGCAGGAAAGAATGGCAAAAGGATCTTTCTTTGGCAGAGCAGGATTTAATTAGTGCTGTACTCTTTTTTTTTTCTTGACATGCACTCTCATTGAGTATGGGTGACACTGATAATAGAAAATTGTAACTATATTCTTCAGTTTAGTCATTTTAAAAGAACTATCCAATATTCCGATTTCAGTGGCAAAGTGTAGAGTTAGAATAGGAAGAACATCTACAGTCATACTTTTACACCTGCTTAAGCATATAGCTTTGAGACATATTCTTCCAAGCAAGGACCCAATAAAGATCCAAAGAAGTCTTTACAAATGTATAGTTGTCCATGGCACGTACAGCTCTTTTCTTCTAAAACAGGTCCACCAAACACGATTGGGCAGGTTGAGCAGCACCAATTGTAATTGCAGCCTGCCCTCAAACACCTGATGACAATACATAATCTTAATGGTGAGCTCTATCACAACCCTTGGTTATGAGGTTATGATTTTAAGCATCTAGCATTTTATTTGCATAGAAATTACACAGGAGAAATTTTCTATGGGAGTTATCAGTCATTTTATACTACTGGGCAGGTGGTTAGAGAAGAGTCTGCAGTAAGCAGTTCTCACTTATCATAGAGAAGCAGCTGTGATATAAGGGACTTGGAATCCTGATTCTGAACTGTGAGATTTTTACACAAATCACTGAATTTCTCTGAACCTCAGTTTATTCATCAGGAAAATGGGGGATAATAACATTTGTCCTTCAGAGTGGTTCTGAAGAGTTAAAAAGGCTCCAGTCCCATGCGCCTATTGTATACAAGTTACAACGTATGCATCTAGGAAAGGCAGCCGCCCCCCAGGACACCGTTGCCATTTGAGACCCCTTGCTTTAGCTTCCCAGTTCTTTCTTTCTCTCATCATCTCCGGACAATAGAGGGTCTCACTAAGCTCCCCCTGCCATACCTGTAAAGAGAGGAAGTCTAAGAGGAGTGACAAGATAGAGTCAACATAGAAGATTATTTCTTTGTCTCATTCAGGAAGTTCCCAGTTTGACAGTCACCAGGGATCCAGTTTCCTAGTGCCTTTCTGATCTATATTGTAGCACATGGTTCTCGGCCTCAAAGTTGCCTAATGGTGCAGTCTGGTGCTGAATAACTCTAGCCATCACTTCTGTGTTTCAGAATTCTGGAAGAAGGGAGAGAGGAGGGGAGGAGGGAGAAAAGAAGGAAGGAAGGAGGGAGGGAAGGAAGGGCAATAGGGGACATATTCCTTCCTACTAAGAAACCTGCTCAAGAGTCTCCCCCAACATTTCCCATAGCACCTTTTTAGCCAGAAATTAGCCACATGGCCACACCTAAGGAGGCTAGAAAATATAGTCTTTGATCTGGGTGAACAGCAACCCTAAATAAAATTTAATGAAGCAAGGGAAAATTGATATGGTTAGTAACCAGCAGACTCTGCCCCAAGAAAACTACAGCTTCTTGACAATTGAATTGCCTTAGTTCTGAGTGAATCCCACTGGGAAGATGAGCCAAACCACTAAGGAAGGGCTGAGTCACCTCCCTATTCAGAATATAGAAGGGCTCAGAACTCTCCTTTAGTGTCACTTGGTGAATGTCACCATCTTATTGTTTTAGATCCTTACTTCCAATCCCACGTTCTGATGTTTCACCCGAGAGCTTTTTGCAGGTTTAGTTTCTCATTCTCTGATTCTGAAATGTAATGTTATATATACTCTGGCTTTGGCATCTGACCAGCTTATTCCAAATCCATATTTGACCTTTGATCTCTTGACTTCATCTGGTTTAGTCTGTCATTTAGGGAAGGGGTACCTAAACTAGGATCCAGGTTGCAAGAGGAGAATTTCCTATAATTGTATACAGAGTGATATGCCTGCCCTCATTTTTTAACCTAGAGAGAGGGACCATAGCTTTATTAGGATTCTCAAAGGGGTCTGTGACCCCAGTTAAGAACCACTGCTGTACGTAAACTTCAAGGCCTTCTGTGAGGCTTTAAGTGCAGGCAGATCCCCAATTGTAAACATGGCCCAGCATGGGAAGGCACATCACAAGATGTGTCAAGAACAGGAAACAACATGCTAGCCCATTTGTCAGGCCTGGCTGCAAGTCAACAGCCCTGGACACATCTGCCACATTCCAGGAGAGGATGTCAGGACTAAGCTCATGAGTCAGGATAAGCTTGGTGTTAGCTGTGGGATAATTGGTCATTCAGACCCAGGCAGGGACTGTCAAACAGGATGCAGGTAAGGCCAAGAACCAGTTGCTGGATTCATCCTAGTAAGCTTCCTCCTCAGTGTTGGGAATGTGTCCTACCATGTCCTTGTCTCCTCAGTATGTAGGATGTCACTTAGCAGAGAATAGTCACTCAATAAATATTTGTTGAACAGAACTGAAAGAAAAGTTTAGGAACCAGGGACGTGGCATAGATAAGCAACCTGAAATAGAGGAGATCAGATGGTCTCATGATCAAACTCTGTAGACTCTTCATCCTAATCCTGAGAGTAAGGGCCATGTTCCTGGTCCTTCGATAGGGAGGCTAATTCATGCAAACCTGGGACCTAAATTGATTCAAATCATGCAGTATGGGGTTGGACCAACTCCCTGGTCTTCAGTACCATCCCTCTCCCTTCCCCATATATTGCTACCTGGACATCTAACACTGACTTGACTCAAACTCAACTTTTATCTGATCCTTGATACAGTTCCAGTATTTTGGTATATAATTCCATTTGTTCCTTGCTTTACCTGAGAGAGCTTTCTTATGTGGTATTGTGAGATTCTAGCACACACATTGTCACCAATACCTCTTTACCACGCAAACATTTTTGCCATTCCAACATTTCCAAAAATCAGTAAGACCATTGATAACATATTTTTTCAAGAATGGTTAGAAGCCCATCATGAGTTTGCCTCTTGCTACACTCAGCAGCACAGGCTAAACCAGGAATCCTTCTCTTCTTCTTCCTTTATCAGGCCATCAGACATGAGGGAGTGTTGGTTGCTACGGTGCTGGGGCTCAGAGCAGAACCAAAGCATGATTGTGACCTCCAGAGGTGATGGTAACTGAATACATGGTTTCCAAGGGTCTTTCTCCTAAATTTCCAGTGGCCTCCCAAGGAAAATGGACATATTCTTTTGAAAACAAAACTCTTTTACCAACAGATGTATCCTGAGGATCCTCCAGGATCTTTTTGTCCTCTTCTATCACCATATGATTAATGTGATTGCTTTTTTCCTCCGTGATTAAAACATAGTAGCTTCACCTGTGTCTTATGTACAGTACTAGTTATCTCATCCTTGCAAATAGCTTTTCTAAATCATTAAGCAAGCAAGAATTCCCATTAGTCTTCAACATTGGCATTCAGCCCAAACATCCTAACCAATGATAAAGCCTTCCAATATCACTCGGCAGAGTGTGTCTAGGCATCTCTCTTCAGCAAGGATGATCTGTATCCCACCCACAGACAGGGCTCTAATGCTTAAGAAAACCAAGCAAAACCAAAAAATACTAAAAGCCTCAAAGCTTAGTAAATATCTTTTTGTTTTCTGGCTTAATTTTCTGTGGATGGGCCTTCCTTGATTTCTTTTAGTCCCTGTTTTTGGTACCACAATCTTGTTTCAATGATGACTCTATCAGGCTGTGCCTCTGTTTTGAATTGCTTTGAAAAGAGCATGGCTTGCTACTTTTAAATCAGTTTTCTAGAAGATATGTAACCCACCAGAATATCTGATGCCTACAGTTAGCTGTGTATGCCAGTTGACCATCTTCTTGTAATTTATAATTTGTAATTAGAAAATCATCACTTAAAATTATTCTTGGCAGATATTGACTTCAGAGAATTATAGAAACATAGCTGGCCTTGGGGACTATCAGTAGAAAAAGGATGTAGATAATTATATTAAGATCTTTAAAACCTGGGTCAATATTTCCAATTATCTTCATAGTTAGCTTTCATATGTTTACATTGTTTTTAAAAGATAGACTTGGGCTCTGACTTTTATACATTCTACAAGTGTGAAACTGGCAGTCAGGTTTTTTTTAAAATATTCAAACCAATCTTATGTAGAACTTATAATACATTTTTTTCAATTAACATTTGTGTTGTCCTATGATCTTAAAGGTAAAAGGGACCCAGAAGGGTCATTTTCTTTCCTTCTATTTCTCTGGGTGAACCACACCTAAGACCTTCCATTCAGATGAGAATCTCTTTCGTTGGTGAAGTATCACAGAGCAGGCACTTCCGCCACCTCTCTTGGTACCCTAGGCTAATTTCTGACATTTTATGATTGGTAACTTAATGCATTTCCAGGAAATGAATCATTTTAGTGGTTTTAAACATCTTTTTTAGAACCCAAGTGCAAATACTAAGCCAGTCATCTGTGTTCCCAAACTAAACGGTTTGACTTCTTTATTTTCATCCTTTTTCTCACCACCTTTTCAGGTTTACATATGAAATTGCCCCAGTGTTTGTCCTCATGGAGCAAATAACGCTTAAGAAGATGAGAGAGATAGTTGGATGGTCAAGTAAAGATGGTGATGGGATATTTTCTCCTGGTAGGTTTCTCTTCTCTTCCCCTGACTCTTCTCAAGGTTTGCAGTATGGACCCTTGGGAACACTAAATACAGTGTGGGCTTGTGGAAGAATGATGACCTTAAATTTTTTTTTTCTTTTATATTCTGCCTTCCTATCTTTATCAGGGTGAAGGCTAGCAGGAATACATTCTATATGAACTAACTAACAAAGGCTGTACCTAAATCTGTACAAACTGACAAAGGCTGTGTCTGGATCATGCTAAACAACTCCGTTCTGTCAACAGCAGTTTGATTATGCTATAGATCAGTGAATCAAGATTATCAATTAACTAATTGATTTCAGCCAAAGTAGTAAATCTACTCTGAATTTGTAGTTCAAAGTAGATATGATAAGAATCTTTAAAATAAAGGTGGGTATTCTTAGAGGTAGGGAGGAATTATAGATGGTGATAGAGATAGTATAATTGTGTACAAGGGAAAGAGAAGAAATAAGAATTGCAGTTGTCTGAGCAGTTCAAGCAGACCACAAATTTGCCTGTTTGATTGTCAGGATAATTAATGTAAAAGTGATTGGTTTGGGTTGGCCAGACATAACTAAATAGCTACCTCAGTTCTCCTTGTGTCTTTATTAAGTTAAACATGAGAGTTTTACTATTATTATTTTAATAACCTTAGAACTCTCCTAAATGACTCAATAACTCAGTTGGGCTGTTCTTGGAAGATTACCAAGCCGGTAACCAAGCAATGTCACTGTTTCTTCTGTAGGCACCATTACTCTCTCTTTCTCTGGCTTTCTGAACTCAGGGAACAATTCATCTTTGTTCAGTAAATAGATGGAGCTGAAAGTAGAAGAAGGCTGTAACTCACCTACCCCTTTGAAGCCACTGCCTCGGCCTCCTCTTATATTTCCGTCTAGGCCTCAGGTGGGAAGGGCACTGGTGAATATGACATAATCAGCTCCAGCCAAATCTCCAAGCTAGTTCTGGTACTAAATATACTACTTGTATTCTCAGGGCAAAGGGTTGGGGGAAGCCACAATAATAGAAAAGCCAGCAAAACTTGTCAGGATATTATCCTTCCCCATCCTGACCTCCCTTGTCCCTTGAGAGGCCAGCTCAGGCTTTGTTGTTAACAATAATGAAAGGGTCCGACACCTCCTTATGTGTCCGCTCGCCAATAGGGGGCGCCGTATCCAACATGTACAGCATCATGGCTGCTCGCTACAAGTACTTCCCGGAAGTTAAGACAAAGGGCATGGCGGCCGTGCCCAAGCTGGTCCTCTTCACCTCAGAACACGTGAGTGGGGGTCTCTTGCTCATGCTTTCTGGTGTTTTTCGAGGTTCTATCTAACTTCTAACCTTAAGCTTCTGTATGTTGTAGAGTCACTATTCCATAAAGAAAGCTGGGGCTGCACTTGGCTTTGGAACCGACAATGTGATTTTGATAAAGTGCAATGAAAGGTAGGCAGGAAAGAGTGAATATTAGGTTTTCAATGTATTAAATGTGTTCATCTGTTAAATTTGTTTTATTGTGCTTAAGGACTGGCTCAGTACAGTGTGCCAAGCTGCTAATGGTCTGTTGAAAATATCCGATTAAATTACTTTTTGCTGCTGCTAAAGTTTTTTTCATGTGCAATCTCATTGATTTTTCATTTTAATTTCTTTCCTTTTGCAATAATTACAGGGGGAAGATAATTCCAGCTGATTTTGAGGCAAAAATTATTGAAGCCAAGCAAAAGGTATGTACTCAATGGTGCATCTAAACTCTAGTGAATACAAATTTTTAAAAATACCTATTTTCTGCCCTAGACAATAAAAGTCTTTGATAATATAAAATCATTTTATTGTGCTTCTAAAATTCTATTCCCAGATAATTGCTTATTTCTAAATGATTTGGCTTTAAAGCTGTGTCTACACAGTATCAATTAAAAAAAAAATGAAAAATTCAGTCATTTAACCACTTGTCTTCATTATACCTAATGGTTACTGTAGTGTTCTTCAGTAAATCAACTACCTGAGCATCATGAAGATACAGCTTAATTGAGCATTTCACTTGCTACTTGTTAGGTATAATCTCATTTTAACAAATACAATTTTAGCTTAGGATTCTGTTTAGCAAAGTGCTTCCATACCCTGGCAGAGGGCCCATGGTACTTGGCAAATCCAGCCTCAACAAACTCTATTAAACAAACAAAAAAATGTAATAGAACAGAAATATCCACAAGTCACTTCCAGGTAACTATCACGCCACTTACCAACACATTGTTGTTTTGATTACATTCTTGTACCTCCTTCTCTAGTTACAGTTGTTTGCTGGGGTCTCAACAGAGTAGGTGGATTTAAACATTGTGAGGAATGAGCAAGGAGCAGAGGTGAAGCTGAGCTTCTGAAAAACCTAAGACTCAAAGATTTCTCCAAACTTAGCTGTATTACTCCACTTCCTCATTTATTTCTTGTTCATGTCAAAATTTCACTGTGTCCACTATTAGTGTATCAGTTTTCACAATGTGTAGACCTGTTTTAAATAACCAAACAGTGCTTCAATGTAATTATTATATTGATGCACTTAGAATGACACAGCACCTAAAAAGAACATTGTCCAGATAATATTCAGAATTACCTGCCCATCACTCCAAACACTTCTTCCTGCTTTATTTTTTGCCATGCAACTTATCACTATCAAACGTACTATATATTTTGCTTATTTAATTTTGTTAATTGTCTGTCACACCCTCCCACTAGAATATAAACTCCAGAGTGTCAGGCTTCTTTAGCTGGTGTGTTCACTGCTATATTCCCAGCATCTACACAGGGCCTGACACACAAAAGTTTTCAAAAAATATTTGTTGAATAAATAAATGAATGAGTGAATGAACCAACAGAGAATACTACCACACACATAATATCTAATATCATGCCCACTTAGCTGATCACAGTTAGAGACAAATGCTGCTGCAGTTCTGCTTCACATGGGAATGAACAAATGAGAACGGCTTGGACTAATCAGCCTCTCTCTCTTAACTTGTAGGGATATGTTCCTTTTTATATCAATGCAACTGCCGGCACGACTGTTTATGGAGCTTTTGATCCGATACAGGAGATTGCAGATATTTGTGAGAAATATAACCTTTGGCTGCATGTTGATGTAAGTGCTATAGTTCACAGAGTGGCCAGTCCTCTCGGGGGGGTGGAAGTAGCTCTGCTTTATGATCTGCCTCAAGTTTCTCTCAATGCCCCAGCCAGCCCTCTCTCCACTCCACATTAGTTCCAGCTCTTCTTTGGCTCCCAGCTGGTGTTCATGACAGGCACACACCATAGGCCTGGTACATCCTCTGGGACTCATCCCATTCCTTACTGGCCAATTGCTGTCTTCTGTAGTTCGTCCTAGAATATGGTCTCCATCACCTTCCCAGGTAGCTCTGTTTGGGCAAATAGCCACAGAGTAAATATATAACTGATTTCAGAGAGAAAAATATGTAAGATACAATGTATAGAAAGTAGCCAAAAATGTAAATGCTTTGATACCTGCCTTTATCCCAAATATCTGTGACAGCTTTTTTTTTTAAATGCATATCCACTACATTTAGAAGAAATAAGTCAGTATATGGAAGGCATTATCAACTAAGAGATTTAGTCCCAAATTTTCCCAGGAACATGAAAGGTACATTTTCACATGTGTGACTGGGTGTGGTTTTTCCTTTCTCTCTGTCCATTTTCTTATGGGTTTAACGTCTCACAGCTGGACAGTGGGGTAATATGCCCTGCTACTGAACAAACAACTTAACAAAGCCTGTTGTTATGTCATGTGGCATCTCAAACTCTTTGGTAAACATGCATCATGGTACCCACAAAAATACCTTGCTGTTGCAGGAGCTGTTGTAGGACCTGCACACCCAGCAGAAGCTGTTGCTTTTGGAGTTTTTCAGAAGCTGTTAGAATTCTAGTGTCCTTTGCATAGCTTCCAGAGCCATGCCAGGGCCTCACTGAGTGTTTCTGCCTGTCCATGGTACTTTGGGCCTTTGGGTCCTGCCACCATGGCCACCACAGGCTCAGACCCACTTATCTATGGCACTCGCACTTTTAGGAGGGACATGACAAACAGTCAATAATCACAACTGCCACAGGTTGAACGACCAGTGTGGGCTCATTTTGTCAGAGAAGCTTATGTTTTTTACCTTTTGCAGTCTCTCGTTTTACTAGGGGTGTGGAGTGACTGATTTGGGATTCTTAAATGTCGCTGCTCCCTCTCCCTCTCCTTTCTCTGTCCTCGCAGGCTGCGTGGGGCGGTGGGCTACTTATGTCCAGGAAGCACCGCCATAAACTCAGCGGCATAGAAAGGTATGGACCGGACTTTGCTGGGCCTCCTTCCATCCAGAACATCAAATATGCTGTGCTCTGAAGTCAGCTTGCACCTCCCCCTGCCTTGATTCCCACCATGTATCTCAATCTGACTAAGCTCACTTTAGTTCAGCAGGTGTTTACTGAGCATGTATTGTATGATCAAATTCCCAGTCAAACAAGTCCTCAATTAGTTCATAATTTAGAAAGAGAAAGACACATAAACAAATACAGACGTCCCCAAGGTATGATGGTTCAACTTTATGATGGTGTGAAAGTGATACCCATTTGGTAGAAACTGTACTTCAAGTGCCCATACAGCCATTCTGTTTTTTGGGTTCAGTACAGTATTCAATCAATTACATGAGCTGTTCAACAATTTACTATAAAATGGGCTTTGTATTAGATGTTTTTTTCCCAACTGTAGGCTAATATAAGTGTTCTGAGCACATTTAGAGTATGCCAGGCTAAGGTATGATGTTCAGTAGGTTAGGTGTATTAAATGCTTTTTCAGTTTACAATATTTTCAATTTATGATGGGTTTATCAGATGTAATACTACCGTAAGTCGAGGAGCATCTGTAGTTACAACACAATGTGGTAAGCATAACAATAGATGAAGTTGCAGGTGCACAGGAAGGAGAAAAGAAACTAACAGTACAGGGATTGGAGGTTAAATCAGAGTTTTTTCAAGAGTGCAGGAAGGGCTGCTGATTCGTTCCACTCTTCTTCCTCATTACACTTATTGCTGGTAAAGGGGCAGGATACTCAGCTCACCTAACTTATTTTCTTTTCACCATTCAGATTCAGTGGGTGTTCTAAGCCAAATATGATTTTGACCAGACTCCTAAGTATTGATCCATAAAGAACTGACATTGATTCACTTATTCACTCATCATGTATTTACTGAGCACCTATCATGAGCCAGGCAGGCATGGAGGTGAATGTTTGGTTACCTGCCTTCTGTCCAGCCACCTGTGGCGCTTTTCTAAAAATTGCATATCTGACACATGCAGGAAAATTAGGCAGTATATGGAAGGTGTTATCAACTAAGAGATTTGCCCTACTAAGTTTACATTCCAGTGGGCTGCATGTTCATAACAAGGACTCTAGCTTTTGTTACTTCTACTGTGCTTCCTCAAATTCCTATCTCCCTCTTGAAAGGTCAGTGTCAAGGTAGGTGAGACTGGCTCGTCGACATGTAGTTATATGACCCTATAACTTGGAGAATAATACATTAAATGTCAATGAGTCAGCCCAACTGCACATTAGATTTCTCAGGTAATTTTGATTTTCCATCTTTGAGTGTGGGAAAACTTGAAATATTTTGCACTAGACTTTCCTAACATTTTAAAGCACATATGTCTTCTAAAGGAAATTGAATTCATATCATGTCTTATTACTTTCCATTTGTAGCAGCAAAGAATCATTTACTTCAGACCTTTAGGACATTCAGAAAACCATTCAAGACATTTTATGAGATCTAAATATAATTTTTTAATAACTTGGTAAATGATAGCAATGGGAAAATTGGTGAAATTCACTACCTTTTAAATATGGCTTGACACTGATGCTTTTTAGTAAGATAAGCACCTAGTTAACTTTTCTCAGAATTTTTCACAGGTCTCTTTCACAAATGTTTTCTTTATTATGCACTTAGGGAAAAGCACTTCAGGCCTTCCTCTCTTCCCTTGAAACACAGTGCACTAAATTATTTTCCCCCAATAAGACTTAAGCACACTAAATTATTTTCCCCCAATAAGACTTAAGCAAGATGAAGAGGTTAAAAATTCACAGCAAGAGTTTAGCTCTAGGGAGAGCAGAGGCAGAGTAATTCCAAGCTATGCTTGAGAAGAGATCCTTCACAGGAATTAAAATGCAGAGCCCAGCTGTGGGCCAGGCCATTGGGAAAGAGTCTGTAAAGCCCTGAAGCAAGTTACCCAAGTTTTAATCATCATACATTACACTTAGTTGTTTCTGTAATGTCCTAGCTAGTGTGCTCCTTAACTATTTAATCATGTCTGACAGAATGATGTGGTTGCTAGGACACCATGCTTGTTAAGCTTTCATTGCAGCCCAAACTGGCAAAACTATGCTCATTTGGCATTTAAACAATGCTGTTAGGTAGTCAAAGTCTAGAACGGTCCAGTTGGTCCTTGTTTTTAGGTGTCACTCTTTATACTGCTTTGGTAGATCATCACTGCCAGCCCATCCTATAAGTTAAGAACAGAAAGGAAGAAAGAATCTAAAGTCTAGGAGGCAGTCTAGTGGAATGGTTATGAGCGCTGGCTCTGCAATTAGATTCCCTGGACCTGAATCTTTATCCAATACTTCCCAGCTGTGTGACTTTGGGTACTATATTTAACCTTTTTGTATATCAGTTTCTCCATCTAAAACAGAATTAATAATAGTACCTGCATCATAGGGTTGTTGTGAGATGTATACCAGGCACTGTTATAAGCATTTTATGTTTATTAACTCATTTTATCCTTTGTTCAATTCTATGAGGTAGAAGACACTTCCCATTTTACAGATGGGAAAACTGAGGCACAAAGGAGTTATGTAATGTGCCCAAGCTAGCAAATGTCAGAGCCAGAATTTAGACTTGGGCAGTTTGGCTTCAAAGTCTGAGTTCTTAACCATGATACCATATTGATATACCTAAAAGCTCTCAGAACATTAGGACACATAATAAGTTCTTCATAAATGTTAGCTACTTTTAATAGAAGTTATTTATTTATTTATTTATTTATTTTAAATTTAGCAGAGTTTATTTGAGCAAGGAAAAAAAAATTTGTGAATTGAGCAGCTCTCAAAACCAGATTGGGTTTAAAAATCTCTACCCTGCAACATGATCAGGCAGTATATATGGACAGATAATAGAAGTAAGATACAAAACAGCTGAATTGGTTACAAAAAGAGCTTAATTGGTTACAACTCAGTGTTTTAATAGCAGCTATTTAGAAGATACAGTCTGGAATACCCTGAGACTGATTGCAAAATATTTGTTTTCTACTTGATTGGTCAATTTAGAGAAATAAGCGTTGAAAACATTTACCTACTTGAATTGAGATGGGTGGTGATTTCCTCAAGAGAACAGTTGTGTCTTTCTGATTCCTGCACCTTCTCCTCACATAGCATGTGCTTCTTTCAGGGCCAACTCAGTCACCTGGAACCCTCACAAGATGATGGGCGTGCTGTTGCAGTGCTCTGCCATTCTCGTCAAGGAAAAGGTTTGTACTCCCTCCAGAGATACACTGCACGTCCTTTAGAAGGCACAAGAAAAGAAACATGTGGGGTCTAGGGCTGGCTGGTTAGCTCAGTTGGTTAAGGTGAGGTGTTATAACACCAAGGTCAAGGGTTCAGATCCCTGTACTGGCCAGCTGCACATCCCCCCCCCCAAAAAAAGATAAAGAAACGTGGAAGTCTTTTTACAGTCCTTGTTAGCTAACTCACAAGATTGGCAACCCCATGATGGGACAGCCATTGCTGTCTCTTCTAGCTCACCTAGTTTCTCCTTTTGGTTCTTGCTGTCTACTGTCCTTTTTCCTGTTCGGTACTCAGGGCCTGTCAGTGACAGAACCTTTAAGGGAATTATTTGAGTATTCTTCCATGTTTGTACAAACAGAAGTGAGAGTGATTGAATGAGACACCCAATCAATCTCGTCCTCAGTGAGGACAAAATTGCCCACTGTGATATATTTTGAGTTCTCAGTGTGAATTTGTGATCTCAAGAGCTGAAATAAATTAGGCAGAAGAGAAACTACAAATATCAACTCACGGCAGAAAGGAATGTTGACCAAAAAGCTTCTGTAGATAGGTTAGTGCTACGTTCCCTCCTTTCAACACCTAATAAAAGCACCCTGCCCTCCAATGCATTGTTGTTCCAGTAAAACTTCCATGTGCTAAAGCATTCCAAAAAGTTTGTCTCCAACCCGTAGGAACCAGAATCTGTGCAGGCTCTTTACTCAGCTCACACATAGAGTCCCTGTTAACTTTGTAGGAGATCCTGGAGAGGTCAGAAGACTTTCAGGGGGAGGAAAATTTTTCATAGCATGGAACTGTCCCACCCACTGAGGAAGTTTGGATCCCTAACCCCTGTTCACTGAATGCCATAGCACTTCCCAATTTCGAAACAACCCAAAACGCCGACTCATTTCCAAATGCCCCTTCGAGGGACTGTGGGCCCTTGTTTAGCCATCTGAGACCAATGTTCATTTTCTAACCTGAGAGACATAGGGAAAGGGGCAAAAGTTTTTTCAAGAGTGGTTTTAGAGAAGGACATCAGAATAAGTGCAAGGCCTCACAAAGACATCGGGGAAAGGTTGCGTGTGGCCCCAAATCCCTCCTTCCAGCCAGCCCCTTTTCAGAGCCATCCACATCTCTGGTCTGTGAATACAGATGCACCATGTTGGTTTCTATGATAGGGTATACTCCAAGGGTGCAACCAGATGTGTGCAGGATACCTCTTCCAGCCAGACAAGCAGTATGACGTTTCCTACGACACTGGGGACAAGGCAATTCAGTGTGGTCGCCACGTGGACATCTTCAAGTTCTGGTTGATGTGGAAAGCAAAGGTATGAAGGGGGTAATTCAGAAAATAGAGCAGAAATGTAATTTGCACAGACAGGCTGACAAAAGAGAGGCAAAGATACATCACAGATAATTCAGTATGTGTGTAATCAATATCTAGGTAATTCAGTTAACTATATTTTCTCTGTGAAAGGAATAACTTTACCCCTTATGTCAAATTCTCACTCCTTCCATTCAGTCTCCCCAGTTTGAATTATGATAAAGTGTTCTCATAGCTTTCTCTTATAACACCTAAAAATTATGTCAAGATTAGGATTTCCACAACAATCTTTAGGGAAGCTGAAATTAGTACAGATATAGAGAAAGAGATAAAAGATAAAATTACTGCATTATTCTGAGTAGAATCCTAAATTCCCTTTTGAGGCTTCTCAGCATGGGATATATATGACAGTTTTAAGTTCTATTTAAACAATGGCTTTCCCATTATTTGTACTTTATATACTACTCTGGACAATGTATACTTTATTCTGGGAAATCCTACCACTAGACTGAAGTGTGCTGTGTCTACATTTATCAACCTCTTGGTTTGCATTTCTGTACCTAGGAAAAAAGCCAACTACTGGAATTTCCCCCAAAATATGAGTGAGGGAGAGGGTTACCATCTGGCTATTTGTTTCAGAAGTATTATTATGCAATCAAGTAAAGGCAGTTTTGATTTCACACCATCAAATTGCATTCATTGTTTTTATTTACCTACTATAAATTAATTTTTAATAATTTCCATGTTTAAGATTGGGTCTACCTAAATACAAACAACAAGGTTTTCTAGCAAAATAATCTAGTCAAATATTTCTTCTGTAGGAAAAATTTGGCAGATTATCAGTTTATTCCTAATCATTTTTTCTAATCATTTTCCTAGTCATTTTGTCTTAGTATAGAAATAGTCTGAATTTGATTTCTACCACAAAGTAATCATAGGTATTTTAAGCATATGAATAGCTATAGAGTGCAACAAAATAAAGAGCCCTATCATTTTGAAATGTAACGACCACATGGCCTGTCTCAGTAATTTGTGTCTTTGTTTTGCCTAACAATAACCTCTTGAACTGTTTGCCAGAGGTTTGGCCATAGTATATTTGTTGCTGAAGTGGGACCCTGGTGCAGGCTTCACTCCCAGGTGGACTGGCCAGAGTGTTCAGTCATCAGTGACACAACTTGGGGAGGCTCATGCTTTGCCAGTGTTGGACTAGGCTCAGGCTCATTAGCAATCCTCGAGCCAGCTTTGTGCATCTGCTCTCCTTATTAACACCGACCCACTCAACAGCCCTCATGCTGCTGTCATTAACCAGCCATGCTAGCTTTTGAAACTAACGCTCAACCAGTTTGTCAGTAGTTGGAGCTTTTGCAAACTCAGAGCACGTTCTGAGACTAATGGTTTCCCCATCTGCCTGCCTGCCTGTCACCAAAAAGGGGTAATACAGTGTTACGTGGAAGGTAGCCTGCCTGGGAGGGTGTGGAACATTTGGTTAGGACTTACTGCCAGGGAAGATGGGTTATAAAGCAGTATTTTTAAAGTATCTATGATGAAGAATGAGTTGTTTGGTTTTTTTTTAACCTATCATGGGCCAATACAATAAAGATAAATTGCTAAAAAAGACAAAAATGAAATTAAAAAATATGAAGTGCAACCCACTATTTTCTTTATTAGATTCAATAAACAAAAAATTACTCTGTCAAATTGCTATAAAAGTTTCTTATTGCTTAATCTCGATTTTTTATTTATTTCTTGGCAGACTTTATACTTCGTGGACTGAGGCACTTTGAGTAGCAGTATCCTAAAGCAAACCAGAAATAGGCTTCAGGTCCAGGCTGTGAAAAACTAGCAGGAAGCTAAAAGCCCTACTGAGAATAACTACCCAGAGACAAGAGTGCATTCAAAAGAGAAAGCGGGCACACTTTATTTTATTTTATTTGCATGCAGATCTGTGAAGAAGTTATACACATTTAATTAGATGGTGCTTCCTAACCATCTTCACGAATACTCTTTTGTAAATTTCCCATAGACAAGGGCAGCATAGTCTTCCCAAATGCTCATCACAGGGAAATACAACCTAACATCAACAAACATAACTTTTCTCTTTAAAACAGGGCACAGTGGGATTTGAAAATCAAATCAACAAATGCCTGGAACTGGCTGAATACCTCTATACCAAGATTAAAAACAGAGAAGAATTTGAAATGGTTTTTGATGGCGAGGTAGGTTATCATCATAGAACTGTATATACGGCATTTCCAGAAAAACTATTGACGGAAGCTCCTGAAGTCATATTTTCCCACGTTGCCAGAAACTGCTTCTGAATTTTTATTTTTATACACTTTTTAAATTCCTTCCATGTCCATGAACTTTTCTGCTGGTAGCATTGGGATGACTTTTCCCTTCACCTCTTCCACGACCTTGTAGCACTTGGCCAGCCCTATGTAGACAAAAGGTCTCTCCTTGTCAGGTCTGAATCCTCCATCATTCTCAGGTTTGTCTTGTGTTGAACCTCTATGAGAAAGTGTTTCTCAGTTCCAAGCTTACAGGATGGCAATATTCTTGTCTCCCAAGACTGGTTCTAAAATGAGGTTCTTTTAGAACCTAGGCTTTACATAGATTGATTATGAAGTCAGCCAGATAAAGTTGTCTCTGCTCTGAGTTCATATCCACATTGCACACAGTAAAGTATTTGTTATACCAATATTTACTGAGTACCCACTGTGTGCCAGACCCCACGCCAGGAGTGGGTTATATAGTATTGACCAAAATAGATACTGTCTCTGCCTAATGGAGCTCAGAGTTAAAGAAAGAAAGATAGAATAGAAGCCAGTGTTGAATAAAAGAAAACCCACTCATAACCCAGTATAATATAATATCATCTACATCCAATGATAGTCTATGATCAGGCAACCTAAACTATTAGAAACACGCCTGAGAATCACATAATGAGCAAAAAAGAGCCCTAAGCAGTTTAAAATCAGTGATACAGTGTTCTGATCATTGACACACTACTTTAAACATTCTGATAGCAGGCCAAAAACAATATGATGTCTGAAGCCAGTTAGAGGCAGGCACAGCGATGGCAAACACCAACTAGGGAGGAAACTGAAAACTATTGCAAGAATACAGAAGAACTCTAAAAGCCCAGGAATCTTTAGGGGAGGGACACTAAACGGTTTCAGTCATCTCAGTAAGCCTTGTCTTATGGTTTAGAACCAGTATTAATGTTCATTATGATAACCCTGAGTCATCAATAAAAGATTCAATGTTAATATAATAAACTCAATAATCAGTATAAATAAAATAAGCTGTTTCAAGCATCTTTCTGAGGCACTGCAAAATAGCAAGATGGGTAATGCATCTTTTTAAATTACCCAAATGTAATTATGTTTAACATTTTAATGTTTAAAAGTGGAAACTTTCATTATCTAGAAAATTGGGGGAACAGCTCTCTTGCCAGAATATGATTGTATAAAGAAGGCATTGTTCTCCCTGGTGCAGAAGTTAACGTTGCCTTCTAGAAGGACATTCAGCTTCTTTCTTTGATCTGAGAGACTTCTACCAACGGTGCATATGGGTTTGGGAACAGCTCTCTTTCAAGTTCTGATCATTTTCTTCGTTTTCTTTGTTTGTTTGCTTGTTTGTTAAAAATCTCTGCAGCCTGAGCACACAAATGTCTGTTTCTGGTATATTCCACAAAGCCTAAGGGGTGTTCCGGATGGCCCTGAGAGACGGGAAAAACTACACAGGGTATGGATTCACTCTTTATCTCATCTAATCCTCTGCAATTTCTCTGGCTGGTCAGGTCATCCTCATTCCAATGTGCCTTTCTAATGGAGAAATAAAAACTAAAGACTTAGCATGGGCTTCTAGTAAGGGGGTGGTGGGGAGCCATCTTGCTATATCCTTCTTGGGTCTGCATTGTCCGCTTGCTGTGGTTCAGATACCAAAGCAACCCCTAAAGGATGTGTCCCTGTCTTTGGTTGGTGTTCTTCATTAAAGGGGCTCTATGCAGGGCAATTTAATAATATGTATATTTACAGGAACATTCTATATTAAACTATGTCTATCATATTTTATTAAGTTACAGTTTAATGCTAATTCATTCTAGCTGTTGATTTCTATATTTATTTATTATTCATATATATATTTATTATTCAGAGTTACTGGTATTATATTTAATTTACATAATATTTTGTTCATCCAATCATTCAGCAAATACTTGTTTAACACAGTCTATGTGCCAAACAGTATTCTGGGCTCTGGATTATATAGAAGCCTTAATTTGTGTTGTCGCCTATAAGAGTATTTTTAATTTTATTCATATCTTTTATCACCATTGTTCTGTGACTGACTTTCAAAATTCAGTCACACGGTACTTTATAAGGGAACCTATGACCGAGTAGACTTAAATCGTCATTAGATATTAGCCACCAGGATATAAAATATTTCTTTGCGTTTATGTTAGTGTAAACACAAATAATAAAAAGCAAGTTGGCAATTGTTAAAAAGAGACGGTGTTAATATCAGTCTTGAGTTTTATTTTGTGTTTTCCATCACAAGGTGGCTCCAAAAATCAAAGCCCTGATGATGGAGTCAGGCACAACCATGGTCGGCTACCAGCCTCAGGGAGACAAGGCCAACTTCTTCCGGATGGTCATCTCGAACCCAGCCGCTACCCAGTCTGACATCGACTTCCTCATTGAGGAGATAGAAAGACTGGGCCAGGATCTGTAATCACCCTTTGCAAAACATGAGTTTATGGGAATTCCCTTTCCTCTCTGGCATTCTAGAACAAACTTCTACAAATTGCTGACACACATAGGCCATTTCATTGGAAGAAAAATAATATCTTTGAAGAATACTGTTAAAACGTTACTTAAGCTTGTTTGTTATAGCTAGCAAGGAAATAATGTTCCTTTTAAAAAGTTGCACATTAGGAACACAGTATATATGTACAGTTATATATACCTCTCTCTCTCTCTCTCTCTCTCTCTCTCTCTCTCTCTCTCTCTCTATATATATATATATATATATATATGTATAGTGAGTGTGACTTAGTCATAGATCAAAGCATGTCTCCCACCCCAAGAGAATTAACTTTACTCTCAGCAGTTATTGAAGGGTTAAACATGCTGCAAACCAGCTTGCCCAACAACCACGAGAAAGATGTTTTTCAAAATGCTGTGTCCTAGGGACCAAGGGAAATGCTGTTGGTGGGAGTTGAGCTCACTGTCAGTGTTCTCCCTCCCAAAGTAATGATGAATGAGGAAAAGCACCAGTAGATGACAAGAGTCACACCCTCCCCATTAGTGTCCTGTTAGGGGAAAGTAGTAGCAGAGTCATTGTTACAGGTGTACTATTGCTCCATTTTTAGAGATCAATTTGTGTAGATTGTGTATATTACTGTTGTCTGACCTCGGCGGGGAGAGGGAGGTACATGTAATGATTTCAATGACTATTTAATTGTAGATCAGTGAAATATTTGCTTATTTATATTCAGAGATTTACCATGTTAAAGAGGCATCTTGTATTTTCTTCTCATTTGTAATGTATCTTATTTATATATTAATGAAGTAAGTGCTGAATACTGTTTATGGTATTTTTGTGCATTTGTGAGCCAAAGAGAAAAGATTAAAATTAGTGAGATTTGTATTTATATTAGAGTGCCCTTAAAATCATGATTTAAGCATAAGTTTACTGTCTGTAGAAGAATTCTGATACTGTATATAGAGTCATATATATGGAAATCCTATTCCTTAAATAGCATCTGCTCTTCCACTACCCTTTCTGTCTGGCTGTATGACTGGTGTTCTCAATGCTTTTCTAGTAACTGTTGGATAATAACTAGATCTCCTGTAATTTTGTAGTAGTTCATGACCAATCTCTGTGACTTGTTTAGCTGAAACCTAAGGCAATGTTTCCGAAGACCTTCCGAAGATCTCAGATAAATTGACCAGGCTCACAACTGTTTCTAAAGGAAGGAAGTTCACACTGTGCATTTTAGAGTATGCAGGAAGAATATAAATAAATAAAAATATTCTCAATGGAGAATTTGAACAAAATTTTCTTCCAGTTTGTGTTTCATACAGAGAGAGAGATTTCTGATTAGAGTTTTTTGGATCACCCACAGCCCATTCACTTTCCATGAGCTGACTTTAGGTGATGCTCAGCACCCCTTAAGCTGAGACTCAACCCACTGCTATAGGTACCTGAGCCCCTCATCTACGAGATCATTTTGATTATAATTAAATAAAATTTTCAGTTCTACCCTTTTTTTAAAAAAAAGATGACCGGTGAGGGGATCTTAACCCTTGACTTGGTGTTGTCAACACCACGCTCTCCCGAGTGAGCCACGGGCCAGCCCTCAGTTCAGCCCTTAAGAAAGAAAAGCCATCCCTGTTTCTCACTTTTCTACTTGCATCTTGGAGTGCCATTCATTCAGTCACTCAAATATCCCTTCTGTCTCAGGCACTGTTCTAGGCACTGAGGTTACAGTGTTGTTTGTGGCAGACAAATATTCCTTCTAGCAGGGATCTTACATCACTTGGCATTTGTGGTATCTGAATGCCTCTAAGATCACAGAGTCACACCTTCCTGTTGCTTGTGCTTGTACAGTGGTCCCAACAAACTTCTCAGGAAATGTGTGGGTGCTGGTTCATTAGAAAACAGAGCCCACTTTCTACCATATACTAGTAAGCTATAATAATACCATCTCACTCATTTGGAATACAAATAATGTAAGGATTAGAGAAGAGTAATTTGCATATTGATTGCATGTGTAACCATTATATTAAACAAACTGGACTCCATAGGGAGTGATCACAAAGTCATTTTATTCTTTCTCCCACTGTTCTTTCATTTTTTTTAATTGAAACATAATTTATTATACTTAGTTGTGGGGTACAGAGTTGACTATCAGTATTTGTTCCCACTGTTCTTTCAAATCCCCTCCGCAGACTGATTTTTTCCATGCCCCTATTTGAATTCAGGCCAATCGCACAGCTTTTCTGGCCTCTCAGGCACAAGAACAGTCTCATTTTAGCAATTAAAAGTCCAGCTCAACATAATAAGCAAGGCTTCAAATTTTTATAAAGTATAGGGTTTCTTGCCTCCCTCAATCTGGCACCATTTCAGGCTGCAAGCACACAGTGGCAGGGGGAATGAGGCTGGCCATGAGGTGAGGTCCTCTCCCTTTTTTTACTCTTTTTTCCTAGCTACTGTGTTTCCTCATTCAGGGTCATGCCTAGGGGGTGAAGGGTTAAAGTAACTGGCACAATTTTACATAACTGTTAAGTTGCCATTTGGCATCAGGGCCCCTGATCCATGAGTTTTTTTTTTTTTTTTTTTTTTGGTATGGGACAATTTTGGGGAAGGAAATGAGGATTTCAAAAGTTAAGGTTGGGCTGGCTGGTTAGCTCAGTTAGAGCACGGCGTTGATAACAGCAAAGTCAAGCATTTGGATCCCCATACTGGCCAGTTGCCAAAAAAATTAAGGTAAAATTTAGATACAGTGGAATTTACTCTTTACAGTGTACTGTCTTTAGTTTTCTATGAGTTTTTTTTTTTTTTTTTTTTTTAAGGGATAATGGACTCCTTGAAGGTGGGGTCCAGGGACTTTATTTCTTTATATCTAAGCCCTGGCCCAGAATCAGTGAACAAGAGCTGTTGATTGAATGAAAGATATAACATCACAAGAAACATAGGTGCCATAAGATAATTTGCCACCTTAGAAGTCATCTGCACTCTTCCAGGCACATCTTGCTCACCTAATTCCTCCCTATCATGGATTCCATGTTGTCTCCTTTAAGAATGAACCTTCGGGCAGGGAAGGTAAAAGTTTCCATTTTTGCTGTTGCAACACCCCCAGTCTCTGCTTTTAGGTTGCCCCATCCTAGCCTCCTTTAACAGGAACACATAGAATGGGTGGTAGAAAGCTCATGAAGCTGACTCAGTCTGACCCACCTGGTTTCACACTAGCTTGGGAAGAGCCATGAAATCCAGACAGGGGAGTTTAAACTTGATTATTAGGCAAGAAACAAAACTGATTGAAGATTTGTGAGCAGAGAAGGTGGCCCTTGGAGCAGTGATAGGACAAAAGCTGTGTGCGAGATAGATGACTTTGGTAGTGGCAGGTACAAGAAAGAGGCCAATTTCTACAAGTGGCAAAAAGACTTTGGGTAATAGTCTAGGAAAGGAAAAAAAATGGCTCCAAGAGAGAATTCAAAGGAAACGTTTGATAGGATTTGGTTAATAACAAGGTGAACAGAATAATGAGAAGAGTTAGCAGGTATACAGCCTGCCAGAATAAATCTAAGCGCGTTACGTAAATTAGCCCGTTTGAAGCTCCTAATTATCTCCATTTTGCACACAAGGAAACTGAGACATAGGACCTAAGTTCTTACCAGGTTTGGGGTCTGAGGCTTTTAAAAAAATGGTGCAGCCCACAAGAAATAAAAGAAAGATGGCAAAAGAAGATGACTTATTAAGGGTTAGGAGTTCTACTTTTTTTTTTTTTTTTTTTTTTTTTTTTTTTTTTTTTTTTGTCCGGCAACGGGATCGCAACCCTCAGCGTTGCTCCCACGCCTCGCTCAGCCAGTGAGCGGGAACCGGTCCGTATGTGGGATCCGAACCCTCGGGCGGGAGCGCCGCCACACTTCCCAAGTGGCGCACTATCCAGTGCACCACCGGGCCGGCCCCATAGGAGTTCTACTTTTGAATTTAAGATGACAGCCAAATAAAAATATCCAGTGGCACATGGAGTAGAGAGCTTTTCACTTTTGCCTGATTCTGCCTGGAGATATGATCAGATCCATCATCGTGGAGAAACCACTGCTGTTTTTGAATGACATTCTGCTTTTCTTCTTTCCTATCTGCAGGGCCAGCTTCATGGGTCCTTCAGTAGCACAGGGCCCTGTACTCAAAAGGGCACTGGGCTTGGTATAATGTCCTGCTGTTGCCATTTGCTATGGTTTGAATGTGTGTCCCTCCAAAATTCATGTTGAAACATAAGCCCCATTGTGGCAATATTAAGTGGTGGGGCCTTTTGGGAAATGATTAAGTCATAAGGGCTCCACCTTCATGAATGAATTAATGCCCTTATAAAAGAGGCTTTAGAGAGAGTTCACCTCTCTTGCTCTTCTACCATGTGATGGCACAGCATTTGCTCCCTGTGGAGGATGTAGCAACAAAGTGCCATCTTGGAAGCAGAGACCAGGCCCTTAGCAGACACCAAACTTGCTGGCTCCTTGATTTGGACTCCCAGCATCCAGAGCTGTGAGGAATAAATTTCTGTTCTTTATAAGTTACCCAGTCTCAGGTATTTTGTTACAGCAGCACAAACGGACTAAGACATCATCTTAATAATTTTTTAACTAGGTGTCTTGCATTTTCATTTTGGACTGCGCCATGCAAATTTTGGAGCTGGTCCTGCCTTTCTGATGGAAGGTCTGGGGTGGACTTTCCACATGTGGGCATTCGCTTTACACTGAAGGTCTCCTTCACACGCAAGAGATGTTTGCTCTTTTCACTGCTTCTGTGAAACTGTTCTTTCCAACATCTTGATTGATGCACTGAACTTCAGTTTTTCTTCATTGTTAGGCTTTGCACTTCCAATGCTGGTTTTTAATCTTTTCTCAAAATTCTCTTCTTGCTTAACTGTCATGACACATGACTTTTGCCACTTCTTGATTTGATGTTCTTTTGTCTTGCATTTCCAGCTTTTCCTCTTGGTCTTGCCCGACACCTTCTCCTATCTTCTCAGGTCTCCAGCATCGTGTTCCTATCCTCATTGTCATGATGTCCCTGTTTTTTATTTCAAGTTTGGAAGCTGTGAAGTCCACAGTCCAGTCATCATCTGGTGAGGGCCTTGTTCTTGATGGTGACTCTACAGTGACACAGGGTGTAGTCACATAGCAAGAATGGCTGAGCAAGAGAGTTTTCTATGAGTTTTGACAAACCCATTCAGTCATATAATCACCACCACAATCAAGACCTAGAACAGTTCCATCACCCCAATACATTCCCAATGTCCCTTTGTACTCAACTCCTCCCCTTAACCCCACCCCCTGGCAACCTCTCCTCTCTTTTCTGTTTCTAGAGTTTTGTCTTTTCCATCATTAAATGGTATCATATAATATGTAGTCTTTTGAGTCTGGCTTCTTTCTCATAATGCATTTGAAATTCATCCATATTGTCTGTATCAGTGTTCATTCCTTTTTATTACTGTATAATATTCCACTTGTATGGACTACCATAGTTTATGCATTTCCATTGAGAGAAATTGGGGTTGTTTTCAGTTTTTTGCTATTAAAATAAAGTTACTATAAACATTAGCTTGCAGATTTTTGTGTGAACATAGAGTTCATTTAACTTGGGTAAATCCTAGGGGTAGGATTGTTAGATCATATAGTGTGGGTGTAGTAGTCCATTTCTGTAGCTTATAACAAAATACACAGAACTGGGTATTTTATAAAGAAAGTGAAATTTATTGCTTACAGTTTCTGAGGCTGGACAGTCCAAAATCCAGGGAACACATCTGATGGTGACAGTGACCCAGGGGTCTCACATTGCAAGATGGAGGAAACAGTGAGAGACACTAACCTCATTTAGTTTCCTTTTAAAGTCCTCAGAACCAAGCCCCTGACAACCATTATTAATCCATTCTCTACAGCATGGTCCTACAATCTAATTACCTCTTCAAGGCCCCACATTGCAATTTCCGTAATAGGATTTCCTACCCTCAACAGCTACAGTGGGGGTTAAGCCTCAATGAGGTTGGGGGGCATCCAATCTACAGCAAAGAGTGTGTTTAACTTTACAAAAAACTTCCAGGCTGTTTTCCAAAGTGGCTATACCATTTTGTATTCTCACTAGCAATGCACAAAATTTCCAGCTGCTCCATATTCTTGGTGACACTTGGTATTGTCAGAAAAAAAATTTTTTAGCCAAGTGGTATCTTGTGGCTTTAATCTGCTTTTTCACGAAGTACTTTTGAAGGATCTCATTGTGTTCCTCCCACTTCATTGCACAGGAGGCAGTCAAGGTCTCTGGTGTGACCACTTAA